GACCTTCACGTAGTCCCAGGTGGGATCCACGGAGATCTTGAATGTGAGTAAGACGAAAAGGCGGATGATAGTCGCAATGCATCCGAAAGTTCCAATGGCGAACATAACGCACACGGCAACCTTCTTATAGCGCCTCATCTGCAAGTTGCGGATGAAGAACAAAGGTAGGATCAGCAGGAGGATGTCCTGCACGATAGCGCTGACAGAGTTTGCCATTGGTACTGCCTGAATGTCCAGGCACTGCCCCTTGATGTCTCGGTTCCAAAAGGATTCAACTGGAGTGCATATGAATATCGTCAGGAAGACGATGACGGTCGAGTTGATGATGATGCCGGCGCCGAAGATGTAAGCGGTGATCCGAAAGCTTTTGGTTTGGAAGATCTCGAGGTAGAAGGCGATGAGGGAAAGTTTGATGAGGCCAAGCACGGCGATATAGGTCGACCAAGAAATGTAGACTGCTTCGTGTTAGAATACCGATGGCGATGTCGTAAGGTATGAGTGCATCTTACAGTAGCGGAGAATAGGCGAGAGGGCCCCGTCTTCAAGGTTCCACAAGTGCTCACCGAAGCCACGTTCCGTCACTGGATTGTGTTAGTTACAGACGATGGTAGCTTGTACGTTCTTGCACTTACTAGCCAAGGTGCATCCTGCAGGTACTGCGCACAAAACCAGAGCAAATACAACAATGTAGTCATCCATCGCCAGCCTCTTATTTACCAATTTGCCGACGATTCGTAGAACGACAAAGACCACGGCCATGGAGTAGATGACACCAGTCCACATGAACATGTCGATGCGTTTCGATTCATCGGACATGTCGCAAAGAACGGCTTGTACTCTGGCAGTGTCCAGACTTTCTTGCATAGTACAATTCGCAAGCATACATGCTGGCACGTCTGCCGCAATCCGATCGTTCCCGCAGACACATGCAGTATCATCTAGGGTGCAGCCACTTTTGGGGATAATAGCAATCATGCAGACAAGCTGTGTTTTGTTAGCAGTGATGTCGGACAATGTAGCTGAGCACGTACTCCACAAGCGGGGATGTCAGCAATGCCTAATGCCCTTGCATCCAGTTCCTGACCCGACGCGCTGGCATGGCCAAGCGTGAAGACCAAACAAAAGACCGACAACAACGCAAAAAGATGCATATTGTGAATAGTAATCGATGAAGGTAGTGAGACAGGCTGACCCTGGAGTTGGGTCGGCGGTCCCGATGACTATTTCACCAAAGATAGATGGCAAAGAAACTTTGGAGTTGCGACATAGTCCAACGCTCTCGAACTATGTTCGGGAAATCCCCATCGTCGGCGTCTTCCAAAGCGTGTTTGAGCTTAGTGTAGTACTCCCGCTGTCGAAGCCAATCAAGCGGTGTGGCCGTTGGACCATAGCGCCGTGATGGCGCTGTAAAATGCGCCGTAGCAGCGGCTTGACTCGAGATTACCCACGGCACGTGGGCATTTGAGCCAGGCTTTTCGTTCGGTAGCAGTTGGGTCTATCGCGCAACGCCCACGGAAATCTAATTCTTTACTACTGAGCAGGGAACAAGCTGGTCCGGCCGATCTGACGGCGCTTTTCGGCCATTCGCATCTTTGCCACATGGTAATTGTATGGAAATGTAGGACGACCATGGGACTGACTGGTTCTGAACGCAATGGAAGCTTACTCTCCGTGAAGCTGGAGCGCATCTCGCCGTGCATGGCGCTCGTATGATGGTCGACTTGGGGATTGCTTCCAACATCGTAAGTCGGCAGAATGCGCTAGCCTCAATGTAATTGCGGGAAGAGGTAGCGTAGTGTGTGATTAAGGAGTCTAGTCGAACGGTACAGCAGCCTCACCCGCACATGCCCAACGAAGGCGCAGTTTGTTGTGAAGGCCCAGACAGGGGCAGACGGTGAGATCAGGGTCCTAGGTGATTACCTCATCACTCACGCCGATCCGGGGTCTTTTGTCCCACCCCACTCGAGCTGAAAAAGGGCAGCTTTGCCATCCAGTCGCATCAGAATGCAGGAAACAAAGTTGGCTGACGTCCGTTAGCCATCGTTCTTCGACGCAGGATTAACGTGGGGATCTTCAACCGTCAGATTGCCGACAAGTCAGAACGCTCGGAGCAGTTGATCTCGTCTAGCCTGTGCTCTACCCGCTCAAACTCTGCCTAGGCATCGAAAACACCTGCGACACTTGATTCCGCCATGTTCACCACCATCCCTCAAGCTTCAAACGATAAGCACGCCAGCTCTAAAGCATCACATCCTGTTCATGAACTAAGCTTACTCGTATGCGATAGCCTTCTGGGAAGACTGCACCATCGTCATCCTGCCGCATCACCACCTGAACAGCTTTCGTACGCAGAGTTTCATTCAATACCAGCAAACGGGTAGTCCCGAAAGCACGAACGACATCGCTTAAGCGCGCCACGCCCATGTGTCTCGATCCGAGGGTCAACGCCCCAAGCACCTAGGCAGCATGTGAAACCTAGATCTGAATGCTATGCCTGAGGTGCCCAACGGTCTCGCGTATGGGAATAATCGAATTGATTCATCCATGTGGAGGACTCACTTTGTCTACCCATTTGAACCAGATGTAATGGCTAAGATGGCCTTGCAGATCGTCTGCTTCCAGAGCGACAAAGCCCAACGCCTCTTAAATTTGAACAGCCGATCGCCCGTACTTGTTGTCGATCTCAGCGCCCTGTCGATCTCTCACAGCTCTTGCCATGTCGCGTCTCCATTTCTGATCTGGCTGGGTCAACTTTCAAGAACTTTATACTTCCATCGGTGCGGAGCGGTGATATCGCAACAACATCATGCACGCTTCGGGCCAGAGGAACAGTCTTGTACACGATGTTCAGAGTTTGTTTGCATTATCGTCCGTCCTATAGCAGCCTCGCGGTGATCTGAACATGCTGGATAGGCTGATACCACCACAAACCCGTCGCAATCTCACCCCACTGCTTCGATGCGTGCGCCAAGTACTGGAACTTTGCGTCTCCTCAACAGCCAGTTCACTTCCAAATCCTATACCACTCCTCCGTAGTGATTATAGGGTCATCAGACCAGGTTCGCTGCCAGTCGCACAGATAAGGGATTGAGCAGTCCAGCTCCAGATGTTCAGGACTGATAAAGCCTACAATGTTGAGGCCTACATCGTAGTACACAAGGTCGCGCTGGACGAGTCTCATGAACTGTATGTATGCATGTCGCTCGTCTCGAATCGGTTTCAGGGGGTGTGGAGCTTTAGGGCTGAGTAGAATGTCGACTGAAGGCAGTGCAGCACCCATAGCTCTCTGCTGCCGATCCATAATCAAGGCCGATTTCGCAACCCAAGCACAAAGGCGATCCATATCGTTTCCCCACAGATATCCCAGATTACAGATATTTGTCCGAATATCTGACTTTGTATCATCGTCTAGGGCTGTCGCGGAGTGCGTCAACTGCGACTTGGAAAGCTAAGGTTGTCAGTCAAGGTTAATATCGACAACATCTGATCCGTCCAACACACCCTGGTCTCCCAAATATAGCAGAGCACCTTCAGAAGTTCCTGCAGCGCACCCAAGCCGTGATATTCTGACGGACAAATGATCTTGACACCTCCGTTCCGAACCCATTCACGTATGGCTTTGTTGACAAGAGGAAGCGCTTCCTGGTGAACCTCATGACATGTTCTGAGGATGGCGGTTGACACGGAGTGCGAGATCAGTGTGAGCCGTTCTTCACAACAGGCAACGCCGACCGTCAACCGATCGGTGGAGCGCGTGAGTCGTTCATATACCATCAAGCGAATATCCTTTGGAAGATCGAGGAAACGGAAAGGTTTCGGAGTCGCTGCATTTGACGCCATCGCCATGTTGACGGGTGACTGCAGTCGCTACTGCCGGCGAGTACTCTGAAAGGCGGTGGGTGAGGTCGTGGCAGCAATCTGGAAACCGCGCGAGCCATTTTTGCGCTCACTAACGCCCAAAGCACGGGCGACAGACACGTGGGCCTACGCTTTCTGTGTTACAAGCGCTTAGCCTACGACTCTACACGACCAGCTCTACCATCGACGTCCATCAACCGAATCAAGTCCGAACCGCTATTGCTGTCAACTTTGTGAGCATGGCTACACCAGCACCCTTCCAGTTCCTCAGTTTCCCCAAAGAACTCCGACTCATGGTCTACAAGCGCCTACCACGCCAGATCAAGCACCACCACGTCATTGAATCTTCCAGCTCGAATGGCTGTCTTGACACCATCCCGCGTAGCTCTCTTCTTCAACACACTGCATAAAGCAGTAGAATTAACAAAAAAAGAGTTAGTAATTATCCTCCGCTTCGTTAGTACGAGCCCCTAACGCAGCTCGTACTTCGGCTCTCGTGAGACCTCCGTTCGTACATTTCCGCCGTTGTCTTGGCCCGGGGGTCGGGTAATCTATTAGGGGTCATTTGGTCGCGCCGGGCGACGGTTTAGTCGAGATGTGTTTCGCCTAAGGCTTGTTTTCATCGCGTTCAAGGTAGCTCGCTCACTATATGTATTCTGTAATTGTACACATGAACTTCGGCGCTGCTAGCCTTCCATTTCCGACGGTCTTTGTTTCCGAAAAGCGGAAGGCTGCAATGATCAAAGCTGCGTATCAATCTTGATCTCATGCCCTATCATTCGCAGTACACTGCATCGACAACCTTTCCTTTGATGCGCATTGGGCGCAAAGCGCCTACTTCCTGCGTTGCGCAGTCCGGCAGTCGTGTGCAGTCAAGCTTGCTCTACAAGGATCTCATCGTAATTAATACATTTATGACCATTTACCGCACTCATTCCAAAGGCGCTGTTTTGATATTACAGTCGTTGTAGTAGCATGTGGATGTGTTGCACTTAGCCAAGTGGTGAGGGTGAACGTCACTGTCTCCGACTCTGGACGCGACTTCCTCACCATCACCAGATAGTGATTATTCACCATTGGCTCGCTTACCTGGCCCTCTGCCGGGCAACAAAACGATATGCATCTTTCGCCCCAGTTCCACAATGAATACGTTGAGATACCTGCTCTCGTGGTTTGAGTGAGTCTTCCCTCACCTGCGCTTCACCGCGGGTAACACACTGACACCATATTCAAAGCCCAGAAATCATTTCGGCCGTCACAAGTACACCAAACTCCACGACGACACCCACACCCGAAACTCAGCAGCCCGAGAAAAACGTCCTGATTCTCCAACCCAAGATGTCCAACTCCAACAACGCCGCCGCTGTCAGCAATGGTAATAACCACGGCAACAGCAACAGCAACGCCAATGGCAACGGCACCGCTGAAAAACCCACCTTCTACCACAACTCCGTCGAGCTCTTCGACCTAGGCATCACGCGCTTCGACCAAGACACCGCCGCAGTCGGCGACCGCGACTTCGCCCTCCACGCCCAAGGCCCCGTCCTCGCACGCGCCGGCCGAGCACCCCGCGGTCTCGAAAGCCAAGTCCACGCCTGGAACACATTCCAATACACCACCGAAGAAGTCAACGAGCGCGAAGAGCTCAAGGGCGATTTGCATGGCGGACAGTTGCATCGCGAGAACAGGGCGGCTGCAGGTGCGCAGGGTGGCGGCGGTATGAACGGCGGTGGTAGGAGAGGCTTTGGAGGTGGCTATGCGGGTAGAGGTGGAGATAGGGGCGGTCGTGGCGCGCCTAGGGGTGGTAGAGGTGGTGGTGTGGGACGTGGTGGTAGGGATGATGGGATGATGGAAGGTCTGTGTGCGGGTAGGAAGCCGGATTATGATTGCCCGCCCATGGCGAAGGGTATGGCGGAGGAGATGGATAAGAGTATGTTCTGGGATGGACCGATCGTCTAGGGGAGATGGGAATGTGCTGAGGGAGTGGAATGGTGGTATGTGGGGTTTCACGTGTGCCTCAGCGTCGCTGATGAGGGGGGCTCTTAAGCTTCTGACCGTTACGATATCGTAGGTACCTCTACAAAGGAATTTGAGGAATACCATGGTCTAATCAAGACATTCTACGGCTCACCTAGAGCCAATCCATCTGCACACAAAGCATTAATCGCATCTACTTGTGTCGACGATACCCGTCATCATCTGGACCAGCTTTCTAGCTCTCAACCTTACATCATTCGTCTCGGCTTCTTATCCCTATGAGCAGTCAGCATCTCTTCAGATTCTCTTCCTTCTTCAGCAACCCAACTTACCTTTCATTCCTCCCGTGTTACTTCCACAAACACCTCAGCAGATGGGCGTACATTTGCATGTCGCCATCGTCGGTGAACTGCCAACAACACACCGCCCAGGGCATTGAGCTACGCAAGTTGCAAGAGCGACGCTTTGATTGCAGATAGCTCGATTGCCTGAGTCGCATGGGAGAGCGATGGCCTTCACTCCCATGAAGAGGGCGATAGCCGGTAGGAGGATAGCTATAAGATACATGTTGGTGGAACCACAGGAGTATGATCAGAGTAAGAGCTTTTGGGTACGATAGACTGAGGTTGTGTACAGTAAAAAGCAGGAGTTACCAGATATTATAAACATCTAAAGCTAGAAAATTCACGCGACGAGTGTTCTGCGTTCATGCGCAACTGAAACAAGGAGTTTTCTCAGCTGACGAGTGGTGATACCATAGCACATACAGCATATACCCAGATTGTCCCACAGCTTACTTGCATGTAAGACGATAGATGCGGTAACTTGCTAACATGGTTTGATCTCACATCATCTCGTCCAAGTATAGTACTAGTCCCGCTCAACTACTTCCTCACTCTCATCACTCTCTCCAGTCATCAAACTAGCTTCCACTTTCTTTCCTGTCAGCAACATTCACATCAGCTCCTTTTGTTCCAAACTCACCTCTTTCTATTCCTACCATTCTTTCTCTGTTGTCAATCTCCTAGCATTTACATGTCATGACTGTATTCGCCATCTCGCCCTTCTGCACGCATGTCGCAGGACAGCTAGCCCGGCATGCAGATGCTGAGATTAAGGAACCGCATTTTACGTCTGCGGTGGTAGAAGAGGCGGCTGCGAGGCCAAAAGCAGGAGTAAAAAGGGCGAGGAGAATGGGTTGGAAATGCATCTTGATTTTGGTGGTTAATGTTGATGGTTGAGAGTGGTAGTTCTCCTTCTGCAGATGGCTTAAGAGGTGAATAATGGAAAAGAGTGTTCTTTATGGAGTGCAATGTAAGGGATTGCTAGGGTCGGAGCTTTGATTCACGTCTCACGTCATTGTTTCTGACTATCTGACCATACTACTGTTTCTAGTTGTTTTGCCCACTGCCGCCCATACATCACGCCATCAGAATATTCCTATTAGCCGTGGTCTCCGAGAGCTGAACATTTTTCTCGCTGTACACTGCCTCTAATATCCGCTGAGATCATCTCGCCTTTTTATTCGCATCGCCGGCATATCATCTGATGTTTACAGCATTAACGACCGATGCGCCCGAAAGATCGGAAGGCTTACTACTCTTCCCCAATCGTATCAACCACTGCCCTCTAAATGTCTTTTCTAGCGACAGACACAGATCGACAACCCCGAGTTCAGAGTCGTACCGGAAGCAACGCAGCGGCCGTGCACACAGTTTGCATGGCAGTAACCGGTGATGGCAACCTCGCCGCATGCACCACCTTGGTATATTCCACCGCTTTGAGGTAGAGCGATAGCGATGGCGATCGTTGGGAGCATGATGATGAAGAGGTGGTGTAGATGCATAGTTGGTAGTTGGTAGTGTCGATGTGAGAATAAAAAGGTTGGATTGCAAGGCAACGGAGGCTGAGGGGACTGATGCAGTATTTATCTGTTAGTGTGCTCGGGTTTAAGAAGGTGAGCTATGAGGTTGATGAGGGAGGATGTTAACATGTAAGGAGGTGAAAGGGAAAGTGATGCGAGGGATGTGTTTTCATGACACATGTATGCATTAGGTTGTCATCTTTACACGCATGCAGCGACGAATTCCTTTGTCGTGCCAGCGGGAAACACACTCCTTCTGGTTCTAACATCTTCCAGGCTCGATTAGGAAACCTACCATCCCCCGTCTTTGGCAAGCCCAACCTCCACCGCTGTCTTCCTCCTCATTACACTCCAATTGCCTTAATTTAACCTGCATACGCATCAGATGACGTGGTCCGTTTATTTGAATTGAAGATCAACATACCACTTACGCACTTCCACCTCCACCTCCGCCCTGGGCCCAGGGACATTTGCACCACACATAACTGCTCTGCTGGACGCACTTTCCAGGGCATGATTGCAAACAAGTGCTCATAGGGGCGACAGCTCCACACTCCACTATGACGGCCGCGGAAGTTGTCGTAATGAGTATGAGGGCAGTGAGAAATAGTGTTACGACAGGAACGTGCATTTTCGCTGATTAGCTTTGATTGCACAGGAGGCTTTCGGATGGCGGTTCAATGGGTAAGGGATAATGAGCAGTCTGGAAATGAGGAAAGAAAGAAGATCTTCAAGATGATAAAGGCTGGACGATGGGGAGTTGAGAGGGGCGTTCCTTACGCCGGCAAAATGTGCTGATATTGAGGCACGGGTTTCGAAAAGGCGTAGTATGTGTGTTGGAGGCGTATGACACCGCATGGCCGGGCGTTATAGTACGTAATATCAATACGTTTGGATGGCTTGAGCGAAAAGGTTCCAGAGTGGTAGGAAGCACCGTGACGCCAAGGATAAGCTGACATATGCTGATGCGATGCCACAGCAGCAGTCTGACAAGAAGGTTCCCTAACTGCAACGCTACACCCTGTGTCGTATTCTCAAAAAGCATTCTTAAAGCTACATCAACTCGGAACCTACTCATTTGTGAACATTCGATAGTGCATGCAGCAAAAGTCTCTCCTGGCGCTCAGGACTTCTTGAAGTGACGGTGTATCAAGCCGCACAAACTCTCCCACAACACTTGGTCTGTGCCTCTCAGCCACTCAACAACGACTTCCCGCGCCAGATCTACAACCCGAATACGAAAGGCTAGCTCGATCTTTCGTGCGGAGTCCTCCTTCATATCGACGAGTCCTTCCTTCTGTTTGCGTTCGTATGCGCGGCGATAGGAGCGACTCCATACGTTCTGACTAGCTTCGCCGATACCGGTAGATGTAAGAGGATCCCAGGCCCATGTTAGGTCAAGCGATTCGAGTTGGGTGTTGATAGCATCTTTGGCAGCCTGAGGTTCGACTGCAGGTGGCAGAGCGATGGGATACGATGTTGGGAACGGGAGGTACTCGTTGGCCATTCGCTCTATACGCGCGTGGCTGTTTCTTGGTCTGAGGTCGCCGAAGCTCCACGCAACGATCCATCGCTTGGTGCTTGATCCAACCTCTATAGCGCCAACTGCCCAATTGGTGATGCCGTGCTTCTTCAGAAGATTAATGATAGCCTTGGCGCTGTCCATCTTGCCCAACATGCTGGTATACCACTGTACCTTGTCCTTCAAAACAAGACTCTCATTGACCATCTTCGTGACGAAGCCTAGATCGCCACCGAGACAGACCATTTCGTTTTCTGAGCCAGTGCATACGGCGTTGGGTTTCCAGCTCTTTCCTTCACCCTTCAAGCTGGACTGCATGTCGGACACGTCGGTGAAGAAGGGTGGGTTGCAGATGGTGAAGTCAAGACGGTCTACGCCAAGGGCTGCCAGTGGTATCACTGGGTTCAACTCGGTGGTTTGGAGTAGCTTGGTACGTGTCATGAAGTTGTTGAGCGCGAGGTTGCGAGCTGCGGAATCGAAGCTCTTCTTGTCGATATCCGTAGCGCACATTGACCAGCTTGGACGTGATCTCAGACACAACAAAGTGTATATGGCGGAAGCCCCGGTACCAATGTCCAGGCCTTGAACTTGACGATTTGGGTCGTACTTGCCGGAATAGTCTGGTGATGTCGAGTCAATCAGGCCATGCAGCCAGGCTACGTAGTTCCAGCGATTGGGAATTGGCGGGCACAAGCGATCATCTGGCACGTCTAGTTGGAGGCCAAAGTTGACTCTCAGGATAGCTTTTGATAGGACCTGGGCAGTCTCAGGGTCTTGGAAATCCAATTTTCCAGACGTTCGCTGCCATAGTTGTTTGAATACCTTGTCGCTCTTGGTGAGGGCCTTGAAATCGACGGTGTCGTAAGGTGGTCGCTGCGCAAGATCCATATTGTTCTCTGACGCCGACATCTAGGTGATGGAGCGCAGAAACGGCAGTGTTGATGTGATGTAGTCTGCACGATGTGGTGAGGGAGGCTATCAACAGGCAAGTGCCGGGATGTTGACGCTTGGACCAGCTCATCCTGATTGGCTGACAGGACCGGAGGAGATGGGACGAGGAAGGAGCCACTGGGCACCTTGGGCCAGCTGGAAACCCAACAGATGCGCTGCCGCCTGCTTGAGTACAAAAAGCAGATTTTACGAAATCCCAAGGCAATGTAAACCTCCAGGAGGTAGGTGAGAGCGTAGGAGAGTGTACAATTGATATACAAGAATTTGATAGCGTCGCCGCAACTCCCGCTCATACCTACTGTATGCTGTCTACCCAACGCCGAATCCATATGCAATTAGATCAAGAAAGGCCCGTCGTACGCTCCATCAGCTTCCTGCAGTCGTACTTCTTCGAGCGTCGGCACGGTTCCCGGTCTGTAGAAACCGAGGAGCATCTCCATGTCCTCCTCGGTCATGGAGCAGAGGTCGTCGAGCGAGTATTGTTCGCACACCTTGGACATCCTGGATTGGCTGAGTCAGCGGGCGGCTTCAGGGTGCGATGTCGGGAACATACCATTGCATCCGCTTTGGGCCCTCCTCAATATTGGGCGCGACCTTTCGAAGCTTCCTCCGTAGCATGCCGACTCTTTGCACGGCGTTGCCGATGTTGTATGGGAGCCCAGCTGCTATCTGCCTCCTAACGATATTGGCCAGCTTGGGGCCGTTGCCGTTTGTGCTGACCATGATCTGGAGCGGCCCATCGCGATGCACGCTGCCAAAGTAGAAGTCGCACTCGGGCGGGACGTCGGCGATGTTGGCTGCTATCCGCCTCTCCTTGCATAGCTTGTAGATCTGCGACGAGGCCTCGGGATCGTCGACGGCCGTCAGGACCATGTCGACGCCATCGAGGTCTTGGGGCTCAAACTTGCGATCGACGTAGTCGACCTGGCCCTGTTCTATCCGGTAGGCGACTTCTTCGTTGAGGCCGTCGCGCGGGGAGACGACGGTGATTTTGGCGTCGGCATTGAGCACGTTGACGATGCGACCAGCGGCGACCTAGACTTTTGTCAACCGTCAATACTTTGTCAGGGGCCTGGGGGTGTGGACGTACCTCGCCGCCGCCGACGACCAGGACGCGCTTATTGCGGATCTGCCATGCGAGAATCAGAGAGCCGCCGCCTTGGATCTCGGGGTAGGGGCCTTTCATGGTGCGGAGAGTGTTGCGGAGATGGAGCATGCAGCGCGGAGATAGCCATGTCTCGATTCCGCGTCATTGCCAAGGCCGTGCTGAGGACGTCGGCCGGGCTGGCTGGGCTGTAGAGTTTTCTTATCGCATGCATCTCGCAATCACGCAATAATGGTTCCCTCGCTGCCACTAGCCATGTCTCCATGGATGGTGCGACTGCGGGACGGGGACGCGTTTCCAAGATGCCGGCATGGGGTCTGCAGCACATCCCTAGCGGCCCTTGCAACGGCGCGCCCAAGACCCACGCCCTAGCCTACCCATGCCGGCCCATGTACCTTCACGACTCCAGCAGACACTCCCGAATATGACCTCGCGCAGGTCTCTGGGCGGCGGCCGCGTACTCGGCAGCGGGAGGAACCTGTCGCCCGCCGCTGCACCTCCGCAGCCTGCAGCCGCCCACCGCCGCAACGCGAGCCTGCTCTCGCCCTCTGAGAGCTCCGTCTCGCTCAACTCGCAGGCTTCCAACAGCCCCGCCAGCACCGCAGAGACGCGCGAGGACATCGGCAGCAAGGTCCTGGTGGGCCCGAGCGAGAATGCCGCGGCGAGTGCCTCCAGCAGACTCGTGTGCCCGATATGCAATGAGGAAATGGTGGGTTCATAGCACCTGCTGCAGCAAGAACAGTCGTCTGACGTAGCAGGTAACATTACTACAACTCAACAGGTAGCGCCGCCTCATATCCGCCCAGCATGTTAGCCCTGACCAGTAGTAGACATCTCGACGACAACCACCAGAACCTGGTCGTGGAGGAGCAGGATGAGGTCAAGAACTGGTTCGAGGCCCAGATGCACAAGGCCAAGAAGTTCCAGCCGCTCGCCGTGCTCAACCAGAAGCTGAAGGGACTCGACGTCTTCGAATCCAACGATGTCCCGACGCCACCCCAAATCTCCCACTCCGCGAGCAGTTCAACCGCCCACGTTGCCCACGAACCCGCCCCCGTCCGCCGAGACCCCGAGGAGGAAGTCACGCGATCACATTGGCAGAGGCCTGGCTACCGCGATGTCTGCTCAGACCCCATGTGCGCGAGGCCCGTCACAGCATCACAAATGGCGCTAGGCGGAAGTCAGCCGGCAGTCAACTGCAGACAGTGTGGAAGGCTGTTCTGCGAGGAGCACACCATGTACCAGATGAAGCTATCGCGGCAAGCTAAGCACGATCCTGTCCGAGGCGTCTGGTGTCGCGTGTGCGAGACATGCTACAAGTCGAGAGACGGGTACAACGATCACCACGGCTTCGAGCGCGACCACTTTGACGAGTTCGCCAAGATCAGACGGAAACGGGTAGACAGAGAGCGCATGGAAGTCAGCCGGCTCGAGAAGCGCCTGACCAAGTTGACGCAGCTTCTCGCAAACCCGCCCCCAATAGAAGAAACGCAGACTACAGGAAGCTGGTTTTCGCTGCCGGGTGTCAAGAATCAACGCAAGGCTCTGGAGCAATCAATCATCACATGGGAGGAGGACGCCAAGGTCCCCAACTGCCCTTTCTGTCAGCAGGAGTTCTCGACATACACATTTAGAAGATCACACTGTCGTATGTGCGGTCGCGTCGTCTGCAGCGACCCAAAGACTGGCTGCTCCTCGGAGATAGGTCTCAACGTCGCTAGCACACAGACCACCGAGAAAGATGCTGCGCAGATGAGTGTGGATGTGCGCATGTGCAAAGACTGCCAGCACACGTTGTTCGCTAGAGGCGACTTTGAGCGCGAGCTAGCCGACAAGCCAAAGGACCAGCGTGCATACGAGAACCTTGCGCAATTCGAACGTGGCATCCGATTACTCCTCCCACGATTCCACAAGTTGCTGCAGGCCTTGCAAGACCCAGACAAGTCACCCACGCCCCAGCAATTGACTGACGCGACCAAGGTGCGCAAGAGATTAATGGACGGTTTTGCACAGTTCGATGTAGCCGCGAAACGGATACGAGACCTTCCCACCGACTCGCCGACACAACAGAAGTTACAAAGAGCGGTATATCAGCAAGCGTACAGCTTCTTGAGCTTACACATGCTACCGCTCAGAGCGTTACCAAAGATTCTCAAGCATGCAGCCCCGCAAGGTCGACCAAACGGAGTCGGCGCCCTCGCCTCTATCAAGTATAACGACCGCTCCACTGGTAGTATCGTAAGCAGTAGCGAGGTGTCCGCAATGGAATCAGAAGAGAAAGAACTCAAAGAACGACTGATCGTACTTGAGGAACAGAAATTCATAGTCTCTGAAATGGTCGCTGATGCCACCAAACACCGAAGATTCGACGAAGTATCCAGTTTGGCGCAGAATGTGGAAGACCTGAACAAAGAGATTGATCAGATAAATGGCCAACTGGGACAACTAGACTTCGCCAGTGCATACCAGGGTGGCTTGACTAGCCCACAACCTGGATGAGCAGCTCCGAGGGAGTATACTTCCGAACAATAACCAGTCCCGTTATAGGGCATGGTCACAATATCGATTTCTCAAAGCCCCCGCCACGGTCCGATCATCTAGACAACCAAAAACGCAGGAGCCACCATGATGCACCTCACTGGGGCTAGAATCTGTCATTGTCGCACACCAGAGATCGCGGCTAGAGCTTAAACAGCTGCCTACAAAGCCGCGCGTAGAGGCGCAAGTACAGTACATGCGTAGGCAGCAGCGATGGGGTGTCTTCACACGAAGACGGTCCTTTGGGGAATTCAGGCAGGCAAGGTCGGGCCTATTGTGAGCACCACGTCTCACGCATCCATAGTAATACACGAAGCAACATGTGAATAAGCAATCCATCACCAGTGCACTTGTAACTTCACGAACAATGAACCAACATCGCGATATGGCATTCTCGATGTTGCAAATACATCGATGATGGTATTTTAATGTTGCACCACACCCAATCAGCCAACCGCGCAAGCCTTCCGCCCTCATCAACCTGCACCATCTCTCGCACGCATTGTCCACCACATTTATAATTTCCCTCGGCGTCACGACACCTCCAACGTCACAACCACCGTCATCCCCGTCGTCATCTTCTCTAGATGCCTAATCCAGTAACTCACAAGTCCACCATTGAACACAGTGCCAACTTTTCTCTGCATTGCCCCCGGCGCCGAACGTGCGCGTCCAATGCCTCGCTGCCAACTTTCGCCAGCACTGCTTTCGGCACGTCATTGCTCGATTGGGTCGTGCGGATCCGTGCGTTTTACTGCTTCCGGGTAAATCGGGTAGGGCAGGGGTTTGTATTGGGAATGGGATGGGGACAAGCTAGCACGGATGCAGAGGCGATGCGCGGGTGTAGGATCAGGGGTGGGTAAGGGTGCGAATTGTTGTGGGGTGGGGATGTGGGTTGGGGATCGTAGAATGCCGGATAGGCGGGTAGAGTGGTGGTTTCGTTGGTGGCGGTTGGGTTGTCCGAGGGGAAATATGCGGGAAAACTGGGGAAGGGCGCCTCACCACCACGATGTTTTGGTAAGATGATATTCCAGGGGCAAGTGTGCATAGATGATTTCTTGGATGTTGTGGTTTGGCGATGGCGAGACGTTCTTCTGTTCCTCGACCTGCACTTCCATCTTTCGCTGATCTGTGTACCTGTTAGCGAACTCCAAAAACCGCTCGCCTCGTCACGAACTTACCTTTCCATCAAGTCATTTCTCATCCCTATTCACCTCGCTCCATCTTTCTTATCGCCAGACCTCCACCCCGTCAACTCCAAAAAGTCCTTCACGGTCTTCGGTTTCGCAGCAGCCGGACTTTCCCGTACTTCTGCTAAACGCTCAGAAACGTCTTTGCCCTTCTCAAACCGTTTTTTACTCCTGGCAAAGAAAGATTCGGGTTTCAAGACCACTGGTGGAGGTATCGGTGTCGATGCCGAAGGAACATCAGCAAACGCAGAAACAGTGCTTCCAGATCGTGAAAGCTGTACGTGACCCGGTACTTGCGGATCAAAAGTAGGAAAAGGCTCTACATCCTCTTCCGCTGGTGCTTCTGCGGCTACTCCCGAAACCCTTCCTTCCGAGAGTCGTCGCCGTCGCCAACCATTCCTACTCCTTCCCCTCTCCTCCTCCTCGCTTGACTTCGCCTCCGCAGACGACGACCCCGGATTCCTACGCCGTATCTCGATCTCCCTAACATCAGAGCCGGGATGGACGGTAGCAAACGTGGCCTCCTCGATGGTAGCATGCGCCAAGTCGGACAGGGAGGAGAGAGACGACATGACGGAGTAGACCGATTCATCTGGTGGGCTAAATTCATCGTTGGCTGCACCGTAGGCGGTGTGATTGGGTGGTGGCTGGGTTCCAGGGACCGTCGATGTTGACCTTGCGCCGTTAGGCGTACCATGGCGGACATGGTGGTGGGCAGAGGGGTCCTGCAGACTGACTCTTGCGTACTCTCGTAGAACAGAGTCTTCGTCTGATTGCAGCTCCAAGAGGAGCTCACGGCGTGAAAGACGCGGTCGAAGCGAAGACGCGTTGCCTCCTTCAAGATGATGTCCTAGCAAAGACTGCGAGGGCGATGGAGCGGCAGAGCGACGCATACGTCTTCCTCTTTCCTGGACTGATTGTTCATCATCTTGTCGAGTGATTTCGTATCGTTTGACTGGGTTATCAGCACCATTACGACCCCTTCGCTCATGCATGCCCCTTCGTCCAGATGAGGTAATTGGTGATTGCGGCGGCGTCAAGTAGGCCTCATCATGACGCTCTACAAACCCGCTTCGCCTCTCTCTACGACCCACATCATCGATTGTCCTCGTACTGTCACCCCGATCTACACCCCCAGCCAAACGAGTCGTCTCCGAAAGCCACGACTCTTCTGCTTCAAACCTCTTTTCATGCGCCAGCAACAACGCATATTTCATCAGCGACGCTGCACGCCGTGGATCCGCACCCGTCAGCGAGACCGACACGTCGCGCGTCTCCACGCGAAGCTTTGAAGCCCGGGTAGCCGTCTTCTTAGACTGGCTCACAACCTTGCCATTCAGCGAGGCAAGAGAGCTTTTCCGGCTGGGGATCTGAGGGGCTTTCAAGAAGCCCGAAGACAGCGTCTTCTTGAGTCTGTGCTCGGATTCCCGCACGTCGACTTGAAGCCTCTCCCCTTCGATGCGTTGGCGGTCGCGGCGAGCTTGTCTATAAGCCTCTTCTATTTCCTTGTCGTTGACTACCCCATCTGGGTATTCTTCATTCGATGAAGCGTGACGAGTGACAACTCTACTTTCGGGAATAAACCCGCAGGCGAGCCACTCGTCCTTCTCTCCAAGCTTCTCGTTGACTTGTAGTACTGCTTTCAGCTCTTGAAGGCAAAACCACAATACCTCTTCGTCGTCTGCGTTATCGGACTCCTGCCTGTCCTTGTCAAACCATACTGGAAGACGGACGTCTTTGTCTACAGTCACCCATGCCGCTGTCAGCCCACTCGTGTCGATGGTCATTTCAGCGGCATGGAATGACCGTGGCTTTTGTCCCACTTTGTCTGTATGAGGGCGTTTCCTCGAGGCAGTGGCTTTGCTCTCGTACAGTGAGATAAAGCTCGATGCGACGTTGCGCTGGAAATGGGCTTCGATGCTGGACTTATTGAGGGCATCGTAGTTGAAGTCTCGCGATGAGCATATTGCGTGTCGGCTTGGTCGCTCAACGAAGATGTGGAGATGGGAGGGGAGGGTGTGGCGCTTCTTGAGCAGGGCGGCTGGGTAGGAGCGGGGGTGTTCGAATGTTCTGTTCATTGTTAGTTACTATCTGATGCGCGATACAGAGTTGCTCTAGATAAACGGATGATTGTAGCGTCTAGAGTTTGGTAAATCGAATTTTGCTATTTAAGATATCGTGAACACCTTCGCGGTGCCCTACGTCTTCGAGATAGACCGAAAAAATCTCCTGTCTTCCGCAAAGGTAAACTTGGTGACTTACATAGACATGGTTGATGATCGGTAATGTGGCGATGCTATGACATTCACTCGAGTTAATGCAGGAGGTTGCAATAGTGGCATTCGAGAAGCGACGTTGCAGATTTGCCTGCATTGCACCTGCTCATATCTTTGGTAGCGAGAACCGCTCTTTCTGGTTTGATCGGAAAGGGTGGCCATACAGAGCACTATGATGTGTGGTTATGGGGCTCAAGGGGGGCGGCCTCGGAACATCACTTGCGGCACAACAGAATTGGCATCGTGATGTCTGGAGTGAGAATCAAATCAAATTCACACAGCTTAGCAAGGTTTAGTAATGAGAATTATATTAGGATATAGCAGTCATGGCCAAGGTAGTAGATTTACATCGACAGCTGTGAGAGATGGGCACTAGAATCGCTACGTCAGTACCTGATCTGGACCCTTCAATATTTCAACTTACATGCACTCTTCTTCCTGGCTTGCTGACTCTCTCATCTCCGGGTCTACAGTGTTGTCATTCGTCCACTCCAGTGCTTGTCGGTATTCATCTGCTCTGAGCTGCTGCATCCTCATGTTTTCGGTAATGGGGGAGTGCAAGGTGGTGTTCATCTCGTACGAGGCCCAGTCGATACTGCTGACCTTCTTCGAAGAGTTGACGCTAAGGCCAGCAGGATACGAGTTGAAACCACCGCCACTACTTACCCACACTCGAAGTAGTGCGGAGCAAAAGATCTCCGCGATCTCTACTTGTTCCCGTCGGTCGATGAGATAGACAATATACTGGTGCATTGTGAAGTGTTGTTCAAACATGCCGATGTTGTGGAGGTGGGTGGATATGTCCTCGACTAGGTTCATGACGTAGTTGGATGACTTCCGTTGGCGGTGCTCTTTCAGACGATTTACCGAGTTCTCAGAATATCCACACTCCCCAAGAGGATATCGAAGGGGTGTATCGCGTAGTGATGCTGGCGTCTCCTGCCAACGTTTCTGGGTACCTTGGCAGAAAAGTTCGAGAGTACCGACACGCTTCTTTGATCGACTGGAATGGGTCGTGTACAGATACTTACGGAGGCCTTTGGCTGACTTTTGTTGGCTAACCAGCGGTCTACCCGGTGAGACATTGTCTATCTGCCAGAAGTGCTCGGAAGCTTTGCCTTCTGCCAGGGTGTTGGCTATGTAGTCGGCTATCCAATTGCAGATGATAAGCATTTGATTAGGAGTAGGCGGAATACCATTCAGGTCTGCGAATTGGTGTATGTATATAGACGGCTGCTTTGCTGCGTTCTTGCAGATGAGGTCGTATTCTCGCTTCAAATCAGGATCAGTCCGCATGCGGCGCACCAAGTCGCCGTCGACTGCCGCTAGCAGTATGGGCGGTTCTGAAGCGAGTATTCGTGCGCATTCTCGTATATACTTCACACGGTCTGTTGCACTGATGGTAGTGCCATTCTTGTACTTAGGTATCTCTTCGTTGAGTACCTCAGAGATGACGGGCTCATAGTGTTTCGACAGGAGAAGATGCGCCTGCCTTGCTCGCCGATCATCGAGTGACTCTGTTGCTGCCGCCAGTCCACTCCGTTCATGGGGAGCGTTGTCGTAGGTATAGTTTTTGTTTCTGGTGGTCACCATCGATGGAAATTTTGATGTTATTCGTTGGGTAAGAAAGCGTGTGCGAAATAAGGAGCGATATAAAGATTGGCGCGCGTTGAGCATCTGTCGTGAGAAATAGTTGAGGATAGGGTGTTCACCAAGAGTGGCATGTTGGTCGCTGAGCTTTGCTGTTTTACAGGTTTCACGTCTTGAGATTGAAGTTGACATAGCTCCAAGTGCACCTTCCATGCCTCGTGTCAATACCGAAGGACGGCATTCCCGACCTGCAGAGTTGACGATGCTTTGGAAGGGGCGAAACTGCATGTTGAAGCTGGAAACACTATCGGAGATGAAGTTAGTCGTACACGAATCGAATCCATAGTTACCACTAGAGTATCTTTATTTCAACCCTGGATATCATGTTGCCGGATTCGTGTCCGAGCTCTGAATCTGCTTTGTGTTGTTTCCAAGGTCTGGTTTCGCAGTGCATTCCATGTCTCAACGATTCAAGGCCGTAGCGTAACTGCAACCGTATCATTATGAGACAATCATATCACGTTCGTTGTGCTTTTGACATCCTCGACTGCTAGATGGTTGATAAGCCTGGTTGTAAAGACGGTGTCGTGAAGGTATCAGGCTCCCGATGCGCGCCAAATAAAGCTTTTGCGGGCGCCGACAGCCGTGTAGACTAGGAATTTGATTGAAGCGCATCCGATCACGATCTGGGGATTATGTGGTCCAGCGTGTGTGATGGAAGGGCAGCAGGCGGGGAAAGTTGGGATGCCGTGGTAGTGTGGCGTCAGGGGTGTGGCTGGTGTAGCGCGTTTGAGTCAATGCCCCTCCAAAGTTATTGATAGAGCCCCTCCCGCAGCACACGAGCTCCGCAACATCGACACTTTCCTGGTAAGTAACGAACTCGACGCGTCTTCTTTCTCCTGCAAAGTCACATGTACATCCTGCACAACATACCTTCCAAATCACATGTACTGACGTCGCGCAGATATGGCGGAACCTACAGCACCCACTCCGCCTGCCGCTGAGGAGGAGAAGGGCCCTTCGAAGCGTGCGCTCGAGAAGGCCGCGAAGAAAGCCGCAGCAAAGGCCAAGAAGGCCGAGCATGCCCTCCGACCCAAAGAGCAGGCCAAACCTAGCACAAAGAGCGAACCGACGAGCATCTTCTCCGAGGGCTGGCTGAAGCGCATCTACGAAGAGAAGCCCGTGTCAGAAGTCAGAACCCGATTCCCTCCCGAACCAAACGGCTTCCTCCACATCGGTCACGCCAAGGCCATCGCCGTCGACTTTGGCTTCGCAAAGCATCACAATGGCAAGTGCTACCTGCGTTACGACGACACCAACCCGGAGAAGGAGGACGAGATCTACTTCACGGCCATCCTGGATATCGTCAAGTGGCTAGGCTTCGAGCCGTGGAAGATCACATACAGCAGCGACAACTTTGACAAGCTGTACGAGCTTGCAGAGCAGCTTATCAAGAAGGATGGCGCCTATGTGTGCCACTGCTCACGTAAGTCTGCATAGCTATGTGCATCTGCGCAATACTAACTCTGGCACAGGCGAGGAGATCAACAACCAGCGCGGAGGACCCGACAACAGAGGCAAGCGCTATGGCTGCGCGCACCGCACGCGGCCAATCGAAGAGTCCCTCACCGAATTCCGGGCGATGCGCGATGGCAAATACCAGGCTGGAGAGGCGTTCTTGCGCATGAAGCAGAAGTTGACGGACCCGGATGAGGGCAATCCCCAGATGTGGGATCTGCCCGCCTACCGCGTTGTCAAAGAGAACCACCACCACCGGACTGGCGACAAGTGGAGAATCTACCCTACCTACGACTTTACCCACTGCATTTGCGATGCGCTTGAGGGAATCAGCCATTCGCTATGTACAGTCGAGTTTCGCCAGTCACGTATCTCGTACGACTGGCTGCTGGAGCAGTTGGACATGAAAGTGCCAAAGTCGGAGGAGAAGGGCCCGATGCAGCGAGAGTAAGTGACGGTCTCCCACCTGGAACTCCATCAGACTAACATTGCGCAGATTCGGACGTCTAAGCGTTGGCGGCACCATCCTCTCGAAGCGGCGCATCCTCCAGCTCGTCGAAGGCACGACCGTCGAGAAGAAGAACGCGGACGGCACAGTCGAGACGAAGAAGATACCTGGCGTAGTACGAGGATGGGACGATCCCCGACTTTTCACCATGGTTGCGCTGCGCCGTCGCGGCATCCCAGCCAAGGCCATGCTCAACTTCGTGGACGAGCTCGGCGTCACGGACGCGCTTTCTGAGATTGAGCCTCCACGTTTCGAATCCTCAATCCGCAAACACCTCGAGCGAACCGTACCACGCCAGATGATGGTGCTCGACCCTATCAAAGTAGTCATCGAAGACTTTGCCACGGAAGACGAACAAGAGATAACAGTCCCTTATGACCCCAAGGGCACCATACCTGGTGAGCGCAGGGTGAAGATTGGTAGCGCGGTCTACATAGACCGCAGCGACTTCAGAGAGGAAGACAGCGCCGACTACTTCCGTCTTGCGCCAAACAAGGCCGTGGGTCTATACAACGTCCCATTCGCGATTCGCGCGACGTCCTTCTCCAAGGACGAGAACGGCAACGTGTCTGAGATCAAGGCTGTCAAGGTGCCAGGTGCCGAAAAGCCCAAGGCCTACATTCAATGGGTGGACGTTGCTACAGCCGTTCCCGTCACAGCACGTCTGTACAACTCGCTCTTCAAGACCGAATCGCCCAACACACTAGACTGGAAGACGGGCGGTTGGGCTGACGATCTCAACCCCAACTCAGAAATCATTCACGACAAGGCTGTCATCGAGCGGGGTATCAAGGACCTCATCAGTGAGACTTCGCTGGATCTGAGTGGGTCTTCTGACGCTCTTGTGCGCTTCCAGGCCCTGCGCACTGCTTATTTCTGCGTGGATATCGATTCTACGGAAGACAAGATTGTGCTCAACCAGATCGTTAGTCTGAGAGAAGATAAGGGCAAATAGATATGGAAACGACTCTCGGGTAATCTGTTGGCGTTGAAGGTGTGGCATTCAACTCGGGGTTGTAGAGGCGTTGTTGTGTAGAGTAGAGATATTCCCGAAATGCAGCAGTCGTGATTCCCGACGCGCTGTAGGGCTGCATGAATCATTCGCCCATGCGTGTCGCTACCAGGATACGAGTTTTGGCCCCCCGCGCTTCCTTTTCAGTCGCCTCAAACATCGGCGGAAAGCCCGAGGCTTATCGTGTAGGAGGCGCACGTCTTATGTTGCTGTTGTCCAATGGTACGGTGCCTCGCATGTCGACCCCGCTGCCGTAATCAGCATAGGTCTTATATAAGCCAGCCAAGATGACTTCCCATACACTCGATTGCACTTACGCGAGCTGATCTCCGGGCATAGGTCGCTGCTTCGGCCGATGAGGTGGCTTATCGTTGCACATGACGAGGTGTGGTAGTTGGAGGCCGAAGTATCACATTGGATATACAGGAGATATATCAAACGCCCCAGCCATAGTCTCTTAATTTTGCCGCAAGCCATTATTTGTTGTCTGTATAGCTGTAATTCTGAATTACGGACGTACCCCTCCCCTAAGATCTACCGACAAGGCTCACGTCAATCATGGAGCGCGAGTACGAATTCTTTGTCACGACGAATAAGCCATATAACCCAGCTGGTGCGGAACGATGCATGATCCGGCGGCTGGTGATGCGCAATCACTTCGATATGAAGATTGCTGGACCGCAGATTAACCCGTCTCAACACTCTTCGATCAGCACAGCCATGGCGAAGAAGAAGCTTAAGAACCGGTTCCGGATATCCGAGCCTCGAATCAAGAAAGAAAAGACCAATAGCAGAGAGAGGGAGAATGTACAGAGATCAAAAGAGAAGGGTGCAGCAAGGCCGAAAGATCTGCGAGGCAGGTCGGGACCAACGACATCTTCGAAAGCTGGGGAAGATGGCAAAGACAAGACAGAAAACACGGTTGAAACACTAGAAGCAATGTCAGTGCTGGAGTGCGGCCTGGATAATGATCGGATAGATCTTTTCAAAGCTTTACCCATACCTGAAACTCCAGAGCTGGGTGCACCATCCCAATTGTGTACGTACAGTCGACTCACATTTTCCAAATATAAGGGCGAGTTCTGAAGCCAAGGGCCCATCAGCTGACACCTAAGACAGACAAAAGTGCACCCAAGAATAATGCAGTCGCCATCGATGCCCAGCACACGTGGCAGTCACTCATCTCGAATGATGCTGGTTTGCTGCACGCGACTCTGGCAAGCTGGGCACTATACGGCATGCTGGCCAATGAACTCACTAGCTTGAGAGTTTGCAAACTCAAGCACAAAAATGAAGCGATCAAGGCCGTCAACTGCAAGCTTGCGACATCAGGGGGATATATATCTGATGAGGTGGTCGGCACTGTGTTGACTTTGGCAAATCTGGAGGTATGAGCACGTCTTCCATGAAATGACCCATGCTAACTATGCCAGAACCTTCTTGGAGACTATGAAGCAGCCCAGCTTCACATCACAGCACTGAAATGTATGGTGAAAGTGCGAGGTGGGCTGTTTGCCTTTGGACACAATGATGGCTTGCTGCGTGGCATCATATGGTAAGCCGAATGCCACCCATCGCGCAATTTCATCGCTGAACCATCTGACAGGATGGACTTTCACGCTGCAGCAGTTTCTCGCGCGCAGCCATCTTTCCCACATATTAATTTGGACCCGGATACGCCTCCTTTGCCAGACGAGCTCCTAGAAGAGGCGGCACAAACGTCGCCAACGTCACTGCTCCATCTTTCTTGGGCCGCGGTCGACTGCTTCAAAACATTCCATCGACTTCATCGACTCGCACTAGCTGTATCGTCGCACTGGGCTGATCGTGTGGAGCGCCTCACTCTTAGCAATCTCCTCTACGAAACGCAGTTCACGATCCTCTCAGTACCTGATCACTCACATAACTTCTTGCACTTTGACCAGAGGAATCATGATGAACAAGGCGACTACTACGATCATCTCAAGGCTAGAGCGGATGCAGCGAGTGTGGTTGAGGCCCTACTTGCAGCAGCCCTCATCTTCGTGTACGCAGTACTTCGTGCGCTACCACTGAACACGAAGATCTTCACTATCCTTCTTTCTCGGTTACGTGGCGCTTTGGATAGACCGAATGCACTGTTACTGGGAACATGGAGACGAGAGAAAAATCTCAACATGTTGGTTTGGGTTCTGGTCGTTGCGTGTTGTGTGGCAACAGGCGAAGAGCGCGGGTGGTGGAACGCGCAGCTATCAGAGGTGTGTGGGGCGATGCAGATTAGAAGCAGACAGCATCTCCAGCACGAAATGCGGCATGTCGCATGGACGGGTACGTTTTTCGAAGATCGGATGGATGCTATCTGGGCAGAGGTGATGCGGCTGCGAGGACAGGCGCTTTGCAGGGGATCGCTGGCGTACTATCTTGCGACTATTGTGGAGCCTTCATTGTTCGATAGATGATGTATAACAAAGAGAGTGAACTGGGCCTTTCACAATGAAAACAGAATGTTTGAGATTGGGAAGTTTAGAAGACGGACCAATCACGGCGGACGCTAATCCGCTTTCAATCCATGTTCGTGAATGGCCCGCCACGTGCATCGGGCAAAGTAGCGCCGACGGCGGCGGGCGCGAAGGCAAAGGGTCTTAATAATCTTCGAGGACTGACGTTCGTCTGGACACGACAACCACAACCATGGCCCCGCTTGTCGACAACCCCCAGATCAAGCAGGCCAGCCTGCACAACCCGCTGCCGCTGCAGCTGCACACGTACATCTGGCCCTTCCTAATCGTGTGGCCAGCCTTCTCCGCCATCTACTTTTCGCCGCAACGCTATGAGCAGTACATCCAGTCGTCGGAATGGACCTTTGTCTGGGTCGCCAGCATCACCACCTTCCAGTCGCTCTTCTGGCTCATGACGCACTGGAACGTCAACCTCAAGAGCGCCTTCACCACCACCTCAGCCAGCGACGTGCGCTCGGCATCGCTTATCAAAGTGCAGCCCGTCAAGAACGCGGGTGCCGCTGAGATTGTGCCATTGGTGCGCGATAACGTGGGCGGAAAGTCGAACCTTTCCTTCCTCTTCCAGAAGCGCCGTTTCCTCTACGATGCCGAGAAAGGCTCCTTCGCCCCGCTGTCCTACCCCCTCGATATCGAACCCAAGCCCCAGCTCAAGACGTTCCAGCAGACGCAGGGCCTCACCTCGCCCGCTGAGATTGAGCGCCTCACCCAGCACTATGGCGACAACGCGTTCGATATCCCCGTCCCGACCTTCACCGAGCTGTTCAAGGAACACGCCGTCGCGCCCTTCTTCGTCTTCCAGATCTTCTGCGTTGGACTGTGGATGCTGGACGAATACTGGTACTACTCGCTGTTCACGCTGTTCATGCTGGTCGCTTTTGAGAGCACCGTCGTGTGGCAGAGGCAGAGGACTCTGAACGAATTCCGCGGCATGAGCATCAAGCCCTACGAGATTCTGGTATACAGGCAGAAGAAGTGGCAGGAGATCATGAGCGACAAGCTGCTCCCCGGCGATGTCGTCAGCGCAGGCCGGACCAAGGAGGACTCTGGTGTGGCATGCGACATGCTCCTACTCGAGGGCTCCGCGATTGTCAACGAGGCTATGCTTTCGGGAGAGAGCACACCGGTGCTCAAGGAATCCGTACAACTGCGACCTGGCGATGCGCGCATTGAGCCTGAGGGTCTGGACAAGAACTCATTCCTATGGGGTGGCACCAAGGTGCTCCAGGTCTCGCACGGTAGCGACGCTGAGGAGGATGGCGGCAACGTCACCAGGCTTTCGTCTGGTGTCCCCCCGCCACCGGACAAGGGCGCTGTTGCTGTTGTTATCAAGACTGGCTTCGAGACGAACCAGGGCAGCCTCGTCAGGACTATGATATTCGCTACTGAGCGCGTCTCCGCCAACAACGTCGAAGCCCTCTTCTTCATTCTCTTCCTTACCGTCTTCGCCGTCGCTGCCTCGTGGTACGTCTGGCAGGAGGGTGTCAGGCTCGACCGCCAGCGTAACAAGCTGCTCCTCGACTGCGTCCTCATCGTCACCAGCGTCGTCCCTCCCGAGCTTCCCATGGAGCTCAGCTTGGCCGTCAACACTTCCCTCGCTGCTCTGAGCAAGTACGCCATCTTCTGTACCGAGCCCTTCCGCATTCCCTTCGCTGGGCAGGTCGATGTTGCCTGCTTCGATAAGACCGGTACTTTGACTGGTGAAGACTTGGTCGTGGACGGCATTGCTGGACTATCATTGGGACAGGATGGAGCTACGGTTGCAGCAGACGGCGCGCACACTGATCTCGCAAAGGTTACGGACGTCGCTACTGAGACGACGCTGGTGCTCGCCGCCGCTCACGCCCTGGTCAAACTCGACGATGGTGAGACTGTTGGAGAGCCTATGGAGAAGGCAACCCTCCAGTCTCTCGGCTGGAAACTCGGAGCGAAGGACACGCTTCAAGCCACCATGACTACCCCCAAATCCCAAGCCGAACTCGTACACATCCGCCGCCGCTTCCAATTCTCGTCCGCTCTGAAACGCCAGAGCTCCGTCGCTACCGTCATCGTCAATAATACGAAGACTGGCCGCAAGGTCAAGAGCACAATCGCTGCAGTCAAGGGCGCGCCCGAGACTATTCGCAAGATGTTGGTCAACACCCCGCCAAACTACGAGGAGACGTTCAAGCACTTCACCCGCAACGGTGGCCGTGTCCTCGCTCTCGCATACAAGTTCATCTCCGAAGAGGGAGAGTGGGGTCAGAACCGCATCAACGATCTCAAGCGTGAGCAAGTAGAGTCTGACTTGCACTTTGCCGGTTTCCTCGTCCTCCAGTGCCCTCTCAAGCCTGACGCTGTCGAGGCTGTTCGCTCCCTTAACGAGTCCAGCCATCGTGTTGTCATGATTACTGGTGACAACCCGTTGACTGCTGTCCATGTCGCCAAGCAGGTCGAGATCGTCGACCGCGACTGCTACATTCTCGACGCACCTGAGAATGACGAATCGGGCGAGAAGCTTGTCTGGCGCAGCGTTGACGACAAGGTCAGCATTCCCGTCGACCCTACCAAGCCTCTGGACGCCGAGATCTTGAAGTCCAAGGATATCTGTCTTACTGGATACGCCCTTTCGAAGTTCGCTGGCCAGCCTGGATGGAAACAGATTCTGCGATATACCTGGGTCTACGCTCGTGTCTCACCAAAGCAGAAGGAGGAAATCCTTCTCGGTCTTAAGGACTGCGGTTACACTACACTCATGGCTGGTGACGGTACCAACGACGTTGGTGCGCTGAAGCAGGCTCATATTGGTGTTGCTCTACTCAACGGTACCCGTGAGGATCTTGACAAGATCGGCGAGCACTTCCGCAACACCCAGATGAAGAATGTATACGAGAAGCAGTGCAACCTGATGACACGCTTCAACCAGCCTCAGCCACCTGTTCCCATCATGATCGCGCATCTCTACCCACCTGGTCCGACCAACCCTCACTACGAGAAAGCCATGGAGAATCAAGCGAAGAGGAAGGGTCTACTCCCCGGAGCCAACGGCGTCGCAAATGGATCGGCATCTACCGGTACTCTCGTTCAACAGCAGCCTGGCCAAGTTCAGCCTCCTCAGGCCGCTGCCAACTTCGCTCAGCAAATGCAAGAGAAGATGATGGCACAGGAAATGGAAGAATTGGCCGGTGAGCCCCCGACCATCAAGCTTGGTGACGCCTCCGTCGCTGCGCCCTTCACCTCTAAGCTTGCCAACGTCGTTGCCATTCCCAATATTATCCGCCAAGGCCGTTGCACACTCGTCGCTACAATCCAGATGTACAAGATTCTTGCTCTCAACTGCTTGATCTCCGCCTACAGTCTGTCAGTCCTCTACCTTGATGGTATCAAGTTCGGCGACGGTCAGGTCACCATCTCCGGTATGATGATGAGTGTTTGCTTCCTGTCCATCTCGCGCGCAAAGACTGTCGAGACGTTATCGAAAGAACGTCCTCAGCACAACATCTTCAACACATACATCATCGGCTCCGTACTCGGACAGTTTGCGATTCACATCATTACCCTCATCTACGTCAGCCAATACGTCCAGCGCGTTGAGCCCAAGGACCCCAACCCAGATCTAGAGAAGGACTTTGAGCCATCTCTGCTCAACTCTGCAATTTACCTCCTGCAACTCATCCAACAAATCTCCACCTTCGCCATTAACTACCAAGGCCGACCTTTCCGCGAGTCCATCCGCGAGAACAAGGGCATGTACTGGGGTCTCGTCTCCGTCTCCGGTGTCGCCTTCTCCTGCGCCACCGAGTTCATCCCCGAACTCAACGAGAAGCTCAAGCTCGTCCCCTTCACCACCGACTTCAAGATCATGATCACCAGCATCATGGCATTTGACTTCGTTGCCTGCTACATCATTGAGAAGGGTCTGAAGTTCTTCTTCTCGGATAACAAGCCAAAGGATATTGCGGAGCGAAGACCGGATCAGTTGCAACAGGAGGAGAAGAGGAAAGCAAGGGCTGAGATTGAGGCTCAGAGGAAGAAGAATGAGGAGGCGGAGATGAAGGCTGCTGCTGCCGGGTTGGTTAAGCGGTAGATGGAGGACTAGTGGGATATAGAGGTGCATATAGTATTTTGGGGGTAGACTAATTTTGGTACGAAGAATTGATCATTTCTCTGCTCAGTCGCTGTTGTGCGTTGATCTGTTGTGCTGCATTGGGGTATGCGACCTGTTTCGCTCGTATCCCATCGTTCCGCAGGTGCGCCTTTTGGTAGCCCGCTCCACTCAGACTCCCGTGCACACTGTTCTTGAATGGCTATATAAAGATGTCCGCTCGACTCCCGGTCCTTTCTTTCTATACGTCTCTTCCCGTATTCTTTAACAAAAGGGCTAGGATACCGACACATGGCTGCTGCTCTCCTCTTTCCAAAACCTGCAAAATTGTTGTTCATGTGCGCTTCTGCACCTTCTTTCGCTATCTAGTCCAAAACATATTTGGACCTTCTGATGAAAGTCCTGTCTTGCACTATCGGACAACTCAAAAAGGCAATAGCTCACAACCATGGCTGGCGGCTCTGGGAAAGCTCCTTCGAAAATTGAAAATGGAGATGTTCGTCGACATGCTTGTGGTGTGCAAGAAAGACTGCACAGAATCAAAAAACGTCGAAACAGGATTCTCATGTCTGTGCCTGCCGACTGCGGTGCCAGGCATGAAAACAAAACAATACCCCAGAGGCCTCATGCTTGCGGCATCAGATCAGTGCGTCATTAAAAGATTGTACATCAGAGTATATGTTGGTAGCTTGAGCGAACGCCCGCTCGCCCGGGTATAAAATCTTCCTGGGGCCTACCTTTCTTCTTCACCCATCTTTCCCGTGAAGATACCAAAAAAGGTCATCGTTTGGTGCATGTCTTCTCCTCCTGGAGCATTCCTTCTACACCAAAAACCCCGAGGGTCACTCGATGTCCCTGTTTCCTGGAAGCTGTTTACCTACTCCAAAACCATTTGGATACACTCCGGATGTCTGACCTCTGGGTTGTCTGGACTGTTCCAAAACCAGCAACTACTATTTGATGCTGTCGTATTAGCGCCTCGACCCTCCTTCTCTATTTGAATCATGGGCTTTACTGCACAATCTCCTCTTCACAATCTTCTTTGAAGAAAGAAGACTAAAAAGAATGACGGGATATGACCCATGGTCGCGGCAAGACAACTTTCTTGCAAGTAAACTACAAAATTACGCCCAGGCTTACTTAATGAGCGCCTTCTTTCGATCTCACGATGAATTTAAATCTGCGATGGCACGGCACATGTCTTAGTAGACGAGTCGCCTCTGCTCATGTCCAAAAATTCAAGGATGACGGCCCATGATCGCGGGATCAACTCTCGCAGTTCGCATACAAATACGTCGGTTTTCAAGCAAATGACCTCTTCTCTTCTATATCATCTTTACCCCATGTAATAATAGAAAATTTCGAAAACCTGTACCAGCAAGCCCATGTTTGCGGGTTCAAAGTACGATTGGACCATAAAATGTCCGCACCCGCCCTTGGCGGCTGATTCAATACAGAAGACGACGGTGGAGCTCAACATATCTCTTCTTTCGAGCTGTATGTCTTATTCATACCATAGCAGTGTCTATGTCTCCAAAACGACGTTCACAGGAAGCTATGTTTGCGCCTCGTCTGCTTTTGAGTTTGTTACAAGAGCAGGATGATATTGGGCCTTGTCAATTGGTCAGCATGTGAAGGGTCAATTGATGAGACCTCATTCAATGTTTGGGCTTCCATGCATGTACGCCGGCTACCACTTCGTATATAACCCGGCACCTCGCCCACGCTTCTTTCCCAAATCGATATCCTACCTAGGTACTTACCCTGAATCAACACATCATCTACTTTTGCCAACTACAACAAAGCCACAACACCCCAAACTATTGCGAAACCCACCCAAGCCACAGACAACAATGTCCAACAACCGCTGCGAACAAATCCTCGCAGAAGTCGACAACGACGTCACCATGGCGATCTACCGTATTTTCAGCGAAGCTCAAATCAACGACAACATTACAGCCAAAGACTGGGAGGACTTCACTGATGGGCTCGATGACGGGGACAAGAGGATGGTAGATGAGGTGGTCTGCAACTTGACACATGCATGGGTGCAGTGCGCTCCGTGTGCGAATCTGGTGGCACTGGTGAGGTGGCGCAGAGACGCGAGGGGCCTTGTTGTTCCGGTCTGAGGTGGAGAATGAGGCTAGAGCGGATGGGGGGCTAGGGTAGAGGAGAAGGGGTATATAAGTATCGGGCGTGCGCGTATCTTCTCTCATCAACACTCCTTCACTGGAATCTCCAAAATCAACACATGCGGTTCAAATGAGTTCCTCCGTGTCGACCCTACATTATATCTAAAACCTCTTCCGAGATCAACGATGATCTGGCTTGAGAGTATTCGCTGCACGCTACATGAGATTCCAAAACTCCAGAAACATGGTGTATGCAGCAGCTCACGTTTTGACTGTTCCAAAAGATCTGATTGACGTAGATGTATACAGCTAGAAACGGATGGCTAGAGTTGCCAAAAGTCTCAAGCTGTGGAAAATCTGCAGATGTAACCGGACACTCCTACGAAAAGCTTCCCCGAAATCGAACCAGTGTAATTCCATGACACCGTACCAGTATGGTTTGAGGTCTCACAGCTTATAATCGTACACTTCTTTCGAGCTGTATAAAGTCTCCTGTCACGCCTCATTCTCTTTGTCTATTCATGCCATCGGGATCAGTGTAATTCCAAAAGCGATAGCTTAACTACCCATGTTTCCCGAGCCCAGTCCACTAAAACTCGACGGCTTCCCTGGCATGTCTGTCCTGGGTTCCGCTTTCGAAGTAGCGAGCTCATCACTCATAATGATGAGTTGAGAAATGTTTATACGAAATCTGCGGTACCGAAAAGTGTCGCAGCTTTTCCAAAACTAATTACCATGGCATCACATGCTTTCGTCTTTTGGAGAGCTAGTGGCAGGTTTTGCAGACTCTTGAGAAACGTATACAAGCTCCTTCTCTTCTGCTTCTCTTTTGAATTATCTTGAACAGTTCGATCATCAAAATCGCAACAGAATTGTGTACATGACTGCGGTCTTCCGTTGCTTTCCTAAAGTACTCCGTCATCTACCCATGCTTTTGAGCAGCCGTATCCTTGCACAACCCACCAAAAGTGCGCTCTGCTTTGTCGATGTCTTCTCCGAAGAAGCAGAAAGATGACGGCTTGACCAAAGATCCTGTCCCGAAAGCAAAAGTGGCAGCAGAAACAGACTAGAAGTCTAATATTCACTTCGAAACTATCGCTTATAAGCTCCTTGAAAATAATGCATTGAAATGCCAAATAACATGAAACTTCGGGCAGAAAACTTTGAAAAAGCTAAGGGCACCTAAACACAGGAGAAACTAAACAGGTACGCTGCAGTCTACATCAGCGTCGAACTGGACAAACTCAAATTCCCAAGCTCATGTGGACTTCTAGGCTGGCAGATTTAGGTAGGTGTTTGGTCTTTCCTTGGATGTGGTGTGATTGCGCCCTCGGCATCACTGTTCATTTCGTAGGTTCGCAGACCACAAGGAATGGGTGCACCGCAGCTATTACATGTTAGCACGATCTCCATCCGACATCATCGTCACCGACTTACCGCTAACAAACAGCCTGCCGGTTTTAACATCGTGCCTCACCGTGGTACTCCCACTCAACACCTTCCCATCCCTATCCTCAATGACCTTCTCGACTCTATAGTCCACGCTTCTCACCCCAGTCTTGCCAATATCCACCGTCTTTCTGATACGCCAGATAGTCACGGGTGAAATGTCATTGTAGGGGTCGTCAAAGCCTTTACCAGCTTGGTAGAGATTCGGGAAACCTGCGACATACATATCGCCGTTCGCATCCGGTGAGATGTTGTCGAGCGGCATGCCGACGTGAATGATATCGACCAGGCTGAGGGTCTTGTCGGGCTGAAGTGCTAGAACGCGGATTTTACCGTCGATGGTGCTGGGGACGTAGAAGAGGCCGTCTCGGCCGAGCGCCAGTCCGTTGGAGAATTTGAGCTTCGTTTTGGGAAGGTAGCCGAGCGCCTTGTTGAGGTAGGCCTTGTACTTTGGCTCACTGGCTGTGTTTGATTGGGTGAACTGACGCTCCTCGCTGCCGTCGTAGGCCGCGTGGCAGTTCCCGGCTCCATCGCAGTAGGCGACGTTTCCTCCGCCGATGAAGTAGTCGAGTTCACGACGCTGACGTGTGTTAGCTACTGTGTCTATAACTTGGTTTTGAATGTCACGTACCATTCCAACCTTGACCGAGTGGTCGTTCGTAACCAAAAACCCACCAGAGCCATCGCCAAGCGCTGCGACACGGTTTGGCGTCCAAATCTCCTCGGAAAATACGGTGCGCGCATGTCGCATTTGTTCCTGTCCCTTGCTCATCTCAAAGATCTCGACCGTCGAGTTCGCGCCGCTTTCAGAAGCATCAACAATCTTGTTGGACGCATCGACCGGTGGTCGTTGGTTGACAAAGTAGAAGCGAATAGTGTTATCATCTAAGACTTGAACATCGAAGCCCAGAAGATCGAGGTCAGAGCTTCCATCCGCTCCCTTGTAATTGCCTATTGGCTTGATACTGCGAAGATTGTAGAGACCGTCTTCACCAGGCTCGTCGATGTCCAAAGCTAGGAGTTCTGAGCCGCCGGGCCGCCGTCCAGTTACGTTTAGGTCGTTCATGCTGTGCCCGTCAGTAGTCCAGGGCGCGAAACCGCGTTCATTCTTAATGATAAAGCTGTGAGATAACGTACGCTTGATTCCAAGCCAATCTAGGTGCCGTACCTGCGCACGCCGCATACAGCTTTCTTCCCTCATTGTCCAGCCAAATATCCTCGCACGCCTCCAGCCTAGGATGCACAAGACGGCGACAGCTAAACTCTGGGAATTCATCGATACTCTGTATCATGCGCCCAACACCAAAGGTAATCGCAAAAAGGTCTTTCAGGTAGATCTGGTAGAGCGACGCGCCCCACGCTACGACGAGGGCCCAGTACACGGTCTTCGCTATGCTAGGCATTTCGGAAGCTGAAACGCAATAAAACGAGAAGAAAAGATAGATGGAAAATGCAGGAAAGGCTGAGCTTATATCTCACGTTGATACCTAGAGGTACGGCTGAGCAAGGCTTGCAGGGGTCGTAACAGGTAAGGCGCCTCTGTTCAGCCCCAGTAAAAATTCGTCCCTCGATGCGCGCGCGGAGCACGTGGGCTGTTGAAGGACCTCCAGGCATACCACACCACCGAGCCTAAGTTCCTCTTTCGCCGAGAGCATATCGCTGGTATGAGATGCAAGTCGTAGCGCTGGGGAGAGCCGTTCGGCCTCATCCCCGGGAAGGCTGACGTCACAGGGTCTCCAAGCCAATTCGGCAGCATCCTCGGCTTACACACCCCACGCCGTCTCAATTCCCAGCAGCAACCCCCTACTCCCCCAGTATCACTTCCAATCCCCAAACAATTCAATATGACGAAATCCGCCTCCTTCGACGTAATAGGCACCTGCTTCGCCTTCTCCGCCCCCATCACCACCATCCAATCGCGCCTCGGCCCCAAACTCACCACCGCAGCCGTAGATCCCAAGACCCTCTTCTTCAGCTGGTTCTACGCCGCGCAGCGCGACTTCACATATGTCTCCATGAGCGGCTCCTACGTGCCCATTGCGCAAGTCCTCAAGTCGACTTTCCGCCGCGCATGCGCTGTTGTGGACCTACCCCTCGACGCCATCACCGACGAGGATGTTGAGGAAGTTATGAAAGCGTTTAAAGCCATGGGGCCGCGTGATGGGTTGAAGAAGTGTTTTGATGGGTTGAGAGAGGCGGGGTGGGATGTTTATGGTGTTACGAATGGGGGGTCGGAGACGAGTTTGGCGTATTATCACAATGCGGGGATTGAGCTGGATGCAGAGCATTTGCTTAGTTGTGATGCTATCAAGATTGCGAAACCAGACGTTAGGGTGTATGAGAATGCGGATAGGCATCTGACCGACAGGGGGTTGGCGAAGGGAGACGGGGAGAGGTGGTTTGTTGCGGCACATGCGTGGGATCTGATTGCGGCAAGGAAGGCTGGGTTCAAGACGGCATATTTGGACTTTGAGGAGCATGATCCGTGTACGGATGTCTTCGGCGAGTTCGATTTGTATGCATCTAGTATGGAGGATTTGTTGGTCAAGTTGAAGGAGAGGCAGTGAGGCTAGTGTAAATACAAACGCCCAGACGTCTACATTGCTCTCAAATGTTCTGTAGTCTGATACTTCGTGCTGTTGTAGGCTACAGAGTCCACTAAAAACTGCTCAGGTTCTTGCTTGTACATTGTAGATGTAGATGACCCAGATGTCTACATTGCGTTAGGATGTTGTCAGTTTTTCATTTTCATACCAACGTAGGCTGCAGGGCATGAGATGAGATACAGTGTATCAAGAATATTGGGCCGAAGCCTGGAGGCTACGTAAGACTGAGAACTCCCCAGAAGTCACTATTCGCGCAGATGTATCCGTCCGGATACCACAAGATTCCATGCAAGATGCCGCCTTTTCTGCCCATTCCTGGAGCAGCCCGCACCGAAAGCCATTTTCCCCACCGAATACATGGAAGACCCACGTGATCTACCTAAAAAGACTCCTGAGCTCCTCCAGTCTCTGCTTCGTAGCCTCCTCCTTGCCCTTGCGCTCCTTTGCCATCGTCAAATTAGCTAGAGCCTTCTTCTTGTCCTGAAGTAGTAGCATCTTCTCTTCAAAGCTGTTCTGCATGATAAAGCGCTTAATAGTAACCTCCCTATCTTGACCAAGCCGATGAACACGATCAACAGCTTGCGCCTCAGCTGCCGGATTGAACTGCGGCTCCATCATGAACACTTTGTTGGCTGTTGTAAGATTAAGACCCAGACCTCCTGCGCCAATAGATACAAGCATGACGCGGACTGCAGGGTTTTCGCGCAGTGCTTGCATAGACTTGTCGCGGTTTTCGCGCGACATGCGGCCATCGAGGCGGACGAGAGAGTGGCCGGCATTCTTGAGAGCAATCTCGATGAGGTCGAGGTGTGTGGTCCATGAGGAGAATACAATGCTGTGAAAGTCAGTAAAGCACACCTCGGTGTGGTAATGTAGGTATCAACTCACCTTTTGATCGGCCTCTCATCCGGATGTTGCTCGCTCCATACACGGAACTCTTGCAGATCGTTGAGTAGAGCTTGGGTCTTTGTATGCGGGCCGGTGTAGCTTCCGATCTTCTTCGCCAGTTTTGGGTCTTTTCGGATCTGATTCTGCTCCTCGATGTAGTTGTAGTAGTCCGTGCGTTCGAGCTTGAGGACCGTGGGCCTGTTGACGTCGTCACAAACGTGGCAACGGACTAATCCATCCGCCATGAGGTTATTCTTCCACTGATCCTTCAACTTCTTGATGTGACGTGGGCAGACGAGGTGGTAGCATGTGGTCATGTAGCCAATCTCCTCCTGAACGTTACCATCTTCGTCTTCGTCGTCGTCGGAATCATCCTCCAATATAGACTTCTTGTCTGGGCAGTACAGGCAGTCCGCTGCACTCGTCGAGTCGAGGAGAGTGAGCATCTCGTAGGCTTGTTGACGTGTCTAAATATCGATGAATCAAGTCAGTAAATGTCTCACAATAGTTTGTATGCGGATGATACTTACGAGCTGTGGCCTATCGCTCTCCTCCTCGTCTATCTCCATGGGCTTCTCGTAGGTCATGCCATCGGTGGTCTTGAGCGCTTCTTCACTGAGCAGATCACGACCATGAGCGCAGATCAATCGAAGATTGAGGATGGCGGTCAAAATCTTGGCATATGATCGTCCACCCATCTTATCGCCCTGGGTGACGGCATTCACCTTGCGTTGAGTATCCCTCTCGAACCAGTCATGTAACTGCTGCTCTTCCTTAGAGAACTGCAATCTGACAACGTAGTCAAGCTTCTTGGGGACCTCGTCCTTGATGATCTCCTTAGTACGACGAATGGTAACGGTGCTGACAAGCAGCTGAAGCTTCGTTACAACCTCGGGGTCAGCATTTTTGAAAGGTCCGAGAATGAACTGGTTGAAGCCACTGGGAGTATCGAAAGGCTTCAACTTGATGAAGTTGAAGAGAGCACCCAAATCTTCAAGTCGATTCTGAACAGGCGTACCTGTCACAGCCCAACGGCGTTGACCCATCATCGTACATGCTGCTTTCGACTGATTGGTTGGGTTACGAATAGTATGTGCTTCGTCCAGAACAATGCGGAACCAGTTGATGTATGGCAAAGCTCGCTTCTTGTCTTGGAGGTCTTTCGCGATGATGTGGTACGTCGTTAAGATTATGTCGTGATCTGCAAGGAGCTCCGGTGTCATGCTGAACCGCTCTGAGCCGTGGTACCGCGTCCACTTCAGGGTGCTTTTGCCCTGTGGAAAGTGCTCCTTGATCTGCTCCTTCCAGTTCGTCATAGTACTGAGAGGACAAACAAGAAGTGTTGCTCGACTGTTAATGGTGGGCTGAATCATGGCTTGGTAGGGCCTCGGGGGTGGCCGCTTCTGGCAGAAGTTTTTGGCGGATGCGATCGAGGCATCGTCGCAGATGAGTGATAGGATGCTGAGCGTCTTACCCAATCCCATCTCGTCAGCCAGGATACCACCAAGACTAGGTCTAGGCTGATCTTCCGTCTGTTCGCCCGTGATGATATGCATGTAGTACTTGCGTCCGTTATCCCGATACTTCGGGGCCCATAAGGAGTCCTTGCGTTTATCGTAGACGTCTGGCGGATGTTCTTGTTCGTGGTCGACCATGAAGTGAAGCGCCTGCTTTTGATGAGGGTACAGCTCGGTTTTGATGAGCGTTGAAGGCTCTCGAAGCGGAACTTCCTCCGAGCCACTGACAACCGTATCGAAGACGTCTTCGACATCAGCGCGGATCTCGTCGACACTGCGAAGGACGTAGGTGTTTGTGGCAGCGCCAACGGCGTACTGGGTGGACGGCTGGAAATCGGGTTGTCCTACTTGATTTTTCTGGAACCCCTCCTTGGACTGTGGATTGTAGTAATCATGGCGCGCGAGTTCGAAGACAGGATTCTCAAGAATAAGATTCTTACTCCTGAGATACCTTCCAAGGTGATCCGCAGACTTACGTGGACAGTACAGCTGTAAGGTCATACCGACAAGTGCAGAGATCTGACTGCCAGGCGGTCCTTCGTTGGGAAGCTTCCGGCGTGGTTCAGTCCAGGCCAGCCACTTCAGACCGTTGGTTTGTGCGCTATCGATCAGTGGTGTGAGACCTTGTGCAGTCTTCATGTCGACCCTGCCGAACTCTTTACCCATACCGTCAAGCACCTGGATATTGGTTAGTTCATGTGACACATGTATCTTGAATTGCAATCTTACCATGATGATTTGGTTTCCCTTGTGGCCGCCACCCCTGCGGAAGGATACCTTAATTCTGCTTTGGCCACCATGGTTCCCAGAGAACTTCTTAGGGTCGGGGAAAGGGACCACGTGAGCCTGAATGTAGGTCTGCTTGAGCTTGCCAATGCAGATATCATCGTTGCTGTTGTCGTGAACGACCTGGATCTCGTCTTCGTCGTCGCTCATGGTCAAGTCGATTGCCGGTCCCTGTTGCGGCGGTGGGGCAGGTGATTGTCCGTTTTGAAGCTCAAGTGCACTTCCACCAGCGAAGTTGGGCTGATTGCCGTTCTTCCGCTCAGTCTTGATGCGCTTGGCAGGTGATGAGGTACGCTCTTGAACGTTGTGTAGGCGTTCGACGAGCGAGACTTGGCCAGCAATAGTGGGGTCAGTACGGCCGCGGTCAGTGTCGTTACCGGATGATGCAGGGCGCTTGGGAGTCGACGAGGTCGGATTGAGAAGCGCGCGCGGGTCGAATTGCGGAATGTGTGCTGCAGGCGTTCCGTTGTTGCTGTTGTTCTGGGTGTGGTTGTGGTGGGTCGTGTGGTCGCCTGGCACGTGCGTGGTTAGTTCTGGGTGTGGTTCTGCTTCTACGTCGGCGCCTGGGTGACTTGTGAAGGCAGGTGCATCCGGCAGCGAATCAACGGGTGAGGGTGTGACAATGGGTTCGTAGGCAGCAGGCTCGGTTTCAGGAACAGCAGGTTCATAGCCGGCTGACTCGTATACAGCAGGCTCGTATATGGCCAGCTCCGATCTCGCAGAGGAGTCAGATGCTGGACTGCCTCCCATAGTCTCCATGCTTGGCTGTGATAGGCGTGGTGGCCAAAGGGAAGGAGCGATGACGAAGATGCGTGGAAGTCCTCAACACCAGGACTGATATCGGGGCGAGTAGGCAATTTTGGGTAAAGAGGTGGAAGAAGGTGAGGAGAAAGAGAAAGATTGAAGATATACCTGTTCTACGTGCCCTCCTCGGGTCAAGTAATAGGGCGGGATTAAACTTGTCCATGATGGGCTTGCAATCAAAGTCACCAGGACTCTACAGGTGAGAGAGCTTCAGGTAATTCTGGCAGATCCCTCAGCGCTTCCAAGCTCTTCCAGCCCTTCCAACGATGTTGATGCCGAAGCGCATCTGATAGTCCGAATGCCAAGCCCTGATCTTTTTGATCGCCACAAATCACGCGTTCTCAGGGTGTTTCGATGCGCTCAGAGAGCCCCCAGGAATGCTGCGAATCCTCTGAAGTCTGGTTGCGGTCGATGCAGGGCGCGAAGTTCCGAGGCTCGAATGTTGAGATGATGGCGTTTAGTCGCTTAGTATACCCGGTCGTCGGGTAAGTGAAGGTAAACGTATGGTTTCGCGGTTCAGCGACTGCAGGTTTGCCAGGCAACAATGCGGTCGGTTACGGGTTCAGATGAACAAAGAGTCATTCATTTGTACCGTGGTGCGTGGGTGAAATGGCGCTGTTGCCTTTCCTGTTGATCGTGGGAAGTCATCGCGTGTGGCTGAGAAGGGCTAGCAGGAGTGTCAGATGACCCTCTCGATAATTCACGGGACATCGGCAAAGGGTCGCTGCCCGCGATTGTCGGGGGGAACCGATAAAGATTGCACAAGAGAAGCAAGCAAGAGTCTCATCAGCTCGCGGACGACGCGCATGTATCACTCAGGTTATTAAAGGGTGTGGGGGTTGCGCAGCGTACGCGAAGGTGTGGGTGCACCAGCAGGATAGCGGAGCTGTCCCGCTACTACACACATGTTGCTATCCGTAGATTCTGTACGTCAAAACGCCTCCCATGCTGCCCAACCAGATGACTATGCTATGGTACGGTAACCTTGCGCCTGTGATGCAAGACAACTCTCTCACGCACAATCTCATAATGTAAAAAAAAATGCCTCAAACTGGGCGATGATCTGCTCAGCACCAGGTAAACACCGGGTTCCGGCCCTTGACCATCTCCAAACGTTCTACGATAACCTTTTTCCTGTTCCCTTCCATATCTTCGTTTGCAGCGTATCCTAGATCGCCATCGTCGTCAAAGCCATAATCATCAAGGTCCCTCCTATGGGTCAAGGAGTGTCGCCTGTGGTGTCGTGAGTCGCGCGTGTTTCGGCGAGGCGCATCGTAACTCATGCGCGACTGATGCGGCGGCCGGCCATTTGAGTGACTGTTCAAATTACGCGAACCCCAGTACACGTCGCTAACAGTCGCTGGCGATTCTGGGCCTTGATCAGGACGTCGAACGTCGAGAGAAGAAGAGCCGCGCGTAAGGTTGAAGCGATTCTCGTGTGCAGACTCGAGGGGTGGCGAGTTCATGAGGAGGTCTTTCTGAGGCTTCTGTGGCGGCGTTGAGACAGCTGTAATATCCATCTCTTCATGCTCTTCCTCCACCCTTGGTTGTCTGCCTAGTGGCTGTTTCCTCCGCATCTCCGCAGACGGAGCCCTCAGCGGCACAGCGATGGGTATCTCGACAATGTCATCCCACACACATACACGTGCCCTTCTTGTGAGCTCAAGCGGCCCAAGATCCGGTGTCTTCAGTGTCTCTACCACATTCCATGCTTGTCCCTTCATGACCGCGATCTGTTTCGCATACATGCGCTCCTTGAAATCGGCATCTTGTGAGAAGCACTTTCGGAGTGCCGATTGCGTGTCGCTCCACCATTGTTTCGAGGTGAGGAGGGGAAGGAAGTGGCGGCGGGTGGCTTCGGAGAAGGGCTGGCCGATGAGCGAGACGGGTAGGAAAAGCCACCCGAAGGGATAGCTGCGCCACTGTAGTCATGTTAGTAAAGCCTTGGGGAAGTTCAAGAAGGATCTTACAGCATCAGGGTGTTTCCAGGGCCACGACAAACTGTTGTCAATGGCACCGATGGTCACTGTGGGTGTCGGCCCACTCTGCATGGGGGTGTTTGACCGGCTAGTCGTGGTCATAGGTTCCCTTCGCCCGTACGGGTCAGATTCCTCCATCGATTGCCTCGTGTAGGAACTCGGTTGGTGGTCGTCGTCGTCGTCGCGTTCCATCTTCGGTGGTTCTGCGATGATGGAAGCCTGCTGCGTCTTCTGGTCAATCTTGATCATCCAGTTATCCAGGCCTCTGTCAGTGTTCCGCATGATGTAGTCGAGAATGACCAATTTCTCCAGTTGCTCTCTGAATGACTGCTGGATCGCAGGTGTCCAGAAGCCTCTCCGCTGGTTGTGCGCGTCCCCATTACCAGATTGTTCGTCCTCGTCCTCGCCGTCTGACTGCGAGCCATTCGGCCTGCAGTCCTCAGCCCATCTCCGCTTCTTCTTCCGTGCCGTCCTGTCCGCATTTTGGGCTGTGTTGTGCTGATCTGGCCACGGGTTCTCCTTGAGGAAGATGTTCGCGTCTTTGAAGCCCTTTAGGAACACCTGAAAACTCCCAAGCTTCTCAGGAAAGGGCTTCCTTTTCCTATAGTATGCGCGCCGATCCCAGAAGTCGTAATGGAAAGATTTTGAGGACAGACCGACGACGTCGGTGTAGGGTACGAGGTTGGTGCGCAGCTGGGTATCGAGGACGTACGCGGCGGCTTCGGAGATGTAGGAGAGATTGGGAATGAGGCAGGCGCGACCGAAGAAGAATGGGAATAGGTTGCGATGGATCCACTTGGTCCATTTGGGGTTGCGCGACGCGTAGGGCTCTTCGTCTTTAGGCTTAAACACACCCACTACCTTGCCCTGTGTAGTGCGCGCAAAGTAGCTGCCTGAGCTGCCCTGTGTAATCAGCAAGGGATGTACATCCATCTCGATGGCCGTCCTGACGCTTTCTACAATATCGTCGAATTCGAGCTTCGTCAAGCGGTCGGAGGGCACGTCGTAGTCGAATGTGAGCGACTCTGCCGTTGCCGGTCGCACCCAGTCTGGCGCCTGGAAGACTGAGTGATGGATCTCGAGCGTCTCGTCGTCTGCCGAGTCTTTCTGCTTCTTGATCTTGAACTTTTGCGCAATCTCGTCGGCCCATCGCTCAAATCGCGCATTGATGGCCTTTATGTCCACGCCGGAATTGGCACGCTGCCGTCGTCCTGGCGGGCCTTTCTTATGATTCGGTGAACTTGGGCCTGAGCCATTCATACGCATATTCGAGTTCCGCTGCGGTTGTATTGGTGCATATTGCGCGTTGGACAGGGGATTCTGGTGGTGGTCGCCCTCGAAGTCGCTGCCGGAGTCGTCTTCTTCCTCCTCTGCTTGGGCTATTCGGGCATAACCCGAAGTCGGCGGTCGTTTTGATTTTGGCATTGTAGTTTTGGGAGAGCGAAGGAATCAAGGTCGGTCGGAGTTTGCTGTTCGTGACTTGGTGCCTGCGATTATGGTGAAATGACGACCGCGGACACAGCTGCTGCAGGGGTCTGACGCGCTAGTGTTCCGCTGTGGATCATCACATGCAAGACGCCCACACTATGCATCTGATTCTAGATCGACCAAACATCTATATGCTGTGGGGTATCGAAGTCTATCTGCAGTACGATCAAAGAACTACGCAAGTATTCGCGGCATCGATACATCATCTAGAAGCTGTCGTCAAGATCCACTTGCCGTCTTACCACACTCGGACTGTCCTCGTCCATACCACCCGTTGAGTCTGTAATATCGCCGCCAGCTGTCATGAGCAAGTCATCCACAATACGCTTGCTAGCTTCTCGGGCTGTTCCGTATGTTAGCATATGCCTGACATATGAGAAGGAGGGGTCTTACCAGGCGTCTGCATCAGCTTGCTTTGTGGGATGTGGAATTGTATCGTCTTCGGAGGACTGAAGTCGACATCGTCGTCCTCTTCGTCGCTGTCATCGAAGATTGTGCCGCCAGTCCGGTGGACGCTCATGGGTTGTTTGCCTTTGGCAGGCGTCTGTATACTTATACCAGGTGTTCGTGGCGTCTTCATGGGCGAGAAGATGTCGGCGCGTAGTTGTGGGGCTGGTGAAGAGGGAGGTGAAGAGTCGAAGTCTAGCAACTTGGTAGCTGCGCTTCGTGGTGTAGGTGCTCCGCGCTGGCCGCCGGTGCGAGGGGTGAAAGCACCCGTTGGTTTGTACTTTCTCGGGCTGATAAGTGGTGTAGCTTGTACGCGGTACGTCTTGTCGAGAACGCGATGAAGTAGCGGGTCGTTATTGACGTAGGACTGTTTCGTGGCTGTAGGCTGCATGAACGGCGAGGACTCAAAGCCGCTCATGTCTGGAAGAGCTTGCGACTTGCCAGGCGTGACGGGTTCCAGCTTCGGCGTCTTCGTGCCGCCAATGTTGGGTCTGAATTCGGACTTCAATGCCTCGTAAGGCGAAGACATGCCAGCGAACTGAGGCTGCTCCTCATATTCGCTTTCTTCTTCATCCTCATGGTGTTTGCCTCCTGTGGTGGAAGGTCGAGCTCGCGGTGTGCTGTGACCGAGCGAGGGTGAGTCGAAAGCGAGAGTCGATTCGGCGTCTTCGTGGGCAGACAAGGGTCGTGGTGGTGTTGTGGTCGTGCCAGTCACGGTATCCTCGTCCTCGACCGTCTCGTCATCGTACGTTTGTGACTGTTCAGTCTCGTCTTGTACAGCTGATTCGTCTTGCTCGGGGGCTTCGTAGCCCGAAAGTGAGACATTGGCGCTCGCCTCGAAGAACTGTTTCCAGAACTTGGAGCCCTCCCAGACAGCTTCTGAATGCTTTCCGTATTGTTCGACGATCGGCAGAATCCCGGTTGTGACGATGCGATGCGCGCGGCTGAAGTTTTGGTCGATTTCTGCTTGGGTCAGTCGCGATAGTGGGGTGCTCGACGCTGTGTTTACCTTGCAGTGTGAGAGTGATGGACTGCTCCAGCTTCTCCAGTTCCTCTGTCAGCGACAGATTGCGCTGCGGCGCCATACTCATGCGCGACATGGTGTATTTCGCGTGTCGCGATGGTATGCGCGGTCGGTGCCTGACGCGCTTTGTCGTGTTCGTGACGAAGACTCGCGATTCCTTGGCACCCCCGAAGTTCCCCGCACTTTCACCCAACCCTAGCTCTCCCCATCACGCATCCGCGTCACGATGCTTTTCTCAAACTCGAATCATAGTCGCCCAAACGAGCGTGCGGAACCGTACCGCTCGACTCGTGTGTTTGCTGCAAGCGCACTATACTGACAAGCTTGTCAACGTCATTCCCGGACCTATTAAACCCGATGAGGATGCGTAGGTTTGCGCCATGCAACCGACATGCCCATGGTACGAGAGGGGTTATGCACACGCTACGCCTGTTCCGTATGCCCGGGTAGCCCATATCAGCTTCCCGGCATTGTGGATGAGGAGATCTGGGGTAAAGTATATGCATATGTAGCCGCTGGTGTGCATGCTCGATTGCTTCGCAGTCCTTGGTACATTCCGGTCTCTTCTTCACGTCGACTTCTCATCTTGCCATTACAACAGAATAATAACCACCATGTCGTTTCGTCTACCAGCAGGAACAGTGTATCAATCTGTCCCGAGACTCACGAGTATACCTCGAGCGGCTTCCCGAGCACCACGATGGGCGCGCAGCTACGCAGTTACTTCGGACCAGAACAGAACAGCCATCGTAACGGGCTCCGCTCGCGGAATGTAAGACACAGACCCTGTATCAATACGCAGAGCCGACTAATCTGCGACAGCGGCAAGGCCATTGCTCTCCGACTAGCTAATGACGGATACGATGTCTGCATCAACGACATCGAAGCTAACAAATCTGGAGCTGATGAAGTCGTGAAAGAGATACAAGGTCTAGGGCGAAAGTCTTTCGCATATACCGCCGACGTGTCCAATCTGAGCGAGGTCCAAGGCTTGGTGAAAGCATCGGTTTCCGAACTAGGACATTTAAACACCATGGTAGCTAATGCTGGTATCGCGCAAGTCAAGGCACTTCTCGATCTTACCGAACAGGATCTCAAGCGCATGTTCGAAGTCAACGGTCAGCCTGTTTTCGTACTGCTTAACGAGAACTAGCTGATAGGTTTACAGTATACGGCGTCTACAACTGCTACTCCACAGCTGCTAAGCAGATGATCTCGCAAGGCAACGGCGGCAAAATCCTCGGCGCGGCGTCAATCGTAGCATTCAAACCCTTCGCGCTTCTGTCCCACTACAGCGCATCCAAATGGGCCGTCCGCGGCCTTACCCAAGCCTTTGCCATGGAAATGGCTGAACACAAGATCACTGTGAATGCCTATGCGCCTGGTATCGTCGGTACAGCCATGTGGGATCTGATTGACGAAAAGCTGGGTGAGAAGACAGGAGCAAAGAAGGGCGACACGATCAAGAAATACACAGACGAGTTGATCGCGTTAGGCCGAACTAGTGTACCAGAGGATGTGAGCAGCACGGTGAGCTTCCTGTGCAGTAAGGACAGCGATTACATGACGGGGCAGACTATCGTCATTGACGGTGGTATCATCTTCACTTAAGTTATGCTGGCAGTTGACAATAACAGTTCCACTATCTACATACCTGTGTCATTTTCTATTATTGTCAACCAGTTGGTTGTCGTATCTATTTGACATGTCATCTAGTACCGCCAGCATTCCGATGTCGACTTACTCTATATGTATCACCGCATGTTCAGTCGCAATACACCCTCCTTCTATCATCCCAAAATCCTACTTCATATCCGTCATAAGACAAACATCATCATGAGTCTCTGGCCTGGCGGTGAGTTTTATGCCTTGTATGGTATAAAATCTCAACACAAGCCCTGGGGTTACTACGGATTCGACCCTCATGGTCGTCTGACTGGCCCTGTGGGTCACCAAAGTAACCGTACTCCACTTGCCGCACGTACAAATCCACGCACGAGAGCTAGTCATAATGCAAGTGAACCTGATGCGCGACTCGCCTCTCTTGTCACAATCGATCAGTCGGTATTTGATAGTTGGCAGGCACGTATTTTTGATGCCGAGGGTCTTCTCGACGGATTGAATGGCCTTCAGCCGGCAGAAATACAGGCTGCAATAGTCAGGTTGCGAAGCTTACTGGTGGATCTGAGACAGGGGATTGGCCGCAGGGCGGGAGTATACTGATGATCGGGTCGGGTGTAAGATGTTACCTAGGTGTGATAGCTAGATAAACTTCATCACACACTGCGGTCATATGCAAATGGCTACAGATCTGCCAGGCTGTTCTAATTTGTTCGTTTCCTTTCCTATCTGTTCTTGTTCGTTCCACACTCTTCGGTACAGAGGTGTTTGTGTATGACAAACCTGCTAGATTTGGTTATTTATCCTCGCTCACATGTGTCATCACACCAGATCTCCTACCTGTCAGCTACCTCCGCCACATATATTCAAGCTCTAACCGAACACCAACCCCAACCCATGGCCCCTCCAAGTATCCGTGAGCTGCTTCGTCGACGCGGAACCAATCAATCTGAGCAAGATCCAGCGCAATCACCACACCAGCAGAGCGCGAACGCAGATCAGCCCGCTGGCGAAGACCTGAAATCCTCCGAATTGCGCCGCAAACACATAGACTGGCTTGAGGAGATGGGGGAATTGAGCAGCTTACTAGTTACTGTGGAGAGCGTTCCGATGTCGCAGGACGGATACAAGGTCTTGAGAGATTTCACCGAGCAAATGAGACGTCGCATCGAATCTCTCCAGGAGGAGATAAAGAAAGAGATCGATAGGGGATTTGCTTGATGCAAACGGCAAGGTTCACTGCTGTACGACGATGGGATCAGGTGGTCTAGTCCTTGGTTTGCTGTTCTCCGTTTGCATCTCGATGGCGCCATGGTCCGGTGTCATCAGTCGCTGGGTGTGACCGTGTGACTGAGCACACATGTAATAGCAATGGTCCCTCTTTCGTACAAGTGCAAATGTATAAGTAGGGGTCGAAACTACGAATCAGGTTCATCATTCCTGCAACCATCAGTGCCCCCGTTCTGATCCAATCTGACTCCATACCTAGGTACAAGCATGACAAACTACCACGTCCAGGAGAACTTGCGCTTCTATCAATCCTGCTATGACTTCGATCGTAACCGAGACGCCGTTATCAACCCTCCGCTCCCGCCACCATTGGTACCGCAGGAACAAATTATAACCTGGCCCGGAGAGACTCCCGCTGGGAAAATTCGCACACCCCCAGCGCTCGTACAGCGTCAATTCAATCTCATGCGCATTCACTCGCATGAAGGTGACAATCTCGGAGTATTTTCGAACGTGATAGCGTACATCTACTCTACTACGACTAATCCTCAGCCACAAGCTGTGATTGACAAGGTCTCGAATGTACTCAATGAGCTTTATACACGTATTGACAGGCTCGAGATGGAAAAAAGGGTGCTTCAATTAAGCTTGGAAGAGACAGAGGATGGTTTGGACATGGAGCGGCGGAGGAATACACGCAGCCAATATTACTACCCTTAGTACCTAGGCCGACAGCAGCGGCGGACTGCTCTGGAAGACCCAGGGTGAAAGAAGACTGACTAGAAGTGTTGTTGCTTTCGTATTGTACCCAATAAAACATCATCCGTACATCTTTGGCACGTGTATGCAGTTCTCCATCTCTAGTGTGAATTAGATTGTGAAGTATACCATCATTTATGGATGCAGCACCGCGGCGGCTTGTCAACGTTGTCAGTATCGGCAAATAAGTCTATGTGGTTTTGCTCATAGCCAGTACATGCGACATTGCTGTAGGTGATCGTGCAGTCGCTCGCATATTGCTTGTTTGATCACACGTGCGAGACTTCACCAACGACTGCTATGTGTTCGCGATAGCAACAACAAACTGCGATCGGTCTTCCGCTGCTTATCAATCAAACCCAGTCGTCTCATCGTTCGTCCGCTACTACACCAGCTGTCGTTCCAAACGCAATTGATAACGAGGAAGCCTCTTGACATAAGTACAGCTCATCCGAAATCTACAACACTCATCTGGTTGACGCTCCATCACCCACATTTCGAATCGCTGATACCTCGAAACTCTTGAGCACGATGAGCCCTCGCAAAACCATGAAGAAGGCTGGGGAGCAACACCCTCCAGCACCGTTCGCGGAGGACGACACCGCTTCCCAAGGTGATGATGCGTTCGAAGGGCTCAGTCAAGAGTTCATCAAGGGGTATTGGGCGGCCTACGACGCACTGGATAACAAAGATCTTAACGAGGACGAAAATGAGAATGGAAACGATGACTCTTCTGAAGACTCACAGTCCACTCCAGACGAGCACGAGCAAGAGTCTCACGGCCAGATCCTATATCTGCGTAACAACGGAAATGAGCCTCCATCGCAATTCCGGGTAAACTACCGTACCGTCAGTTACCCACCTGAACGTCCACAAGATCCGCTTCAGCACAACGCAGTTCCTGTAGCTCCACCTCCAACTAACATCTTTCCAAATGCTGCGGACTCCGCTTTCATGGACGGCCCAAATGTGCCGCAAGCTCGCCCTGCACGTAGCTTTGGTAGAGGCGTTCTCGAAGCGATTGAACGACGTGATCAAAATCATCGAAGGCATCGTCGATTGGCGCTTCCTTTTCACGGCGAACCCTTCGAAGAACGTTATCTAAGGGCCTCGGCACCAGGAAGATACAGTCGGGTTGTTGAAGGCATGCCCTGCGACTTCTTTCCTAGTCAGTCTGTGCCGATCATGCGTCCTCCCAACGGAAGACAGGACGAACGAATCTCGTTTGCACCGCCACGCCCATTGGATAGGGACATGACTCCTCCCATGGAACGCGACCTCCTGTTTGAGATGTGGGCCGATGCCTTTAGTGAGAGTAGAAGGATCGAGCAGGATATGGCAGCATTCAGGGATAGGCTTCAGCGGCTGTACGAATTCTGTTACAGGTCTTAGAGTTGAGGTGGACGCACTTGGCTTGTGACTTTCGTTTTTCCAAGGATCTTGGTAGATTTTCTGGTTGTCATATCGCTGGCGTAGCCATTCGCTCATTTGTTTGTCGCTTTCCATGACGACGCGTTGTCATCTACGTGTGTACTTGCTGTAGCAACACAACACTCTTTATCTGTAGCCTGTTAGCAATACCATTACTAAATCCCCATTCATCGTTCATCGCGAAAAGTTCGCTACATAGCAGTCATGTCTTCCTACCAGAGATCCAGCGCATCACCCTACTATCTTCCGCTTGACCCTCAACCCTACCAGCAGCGATATGCGCGAAGCCCATCTTCGCGAGCGCCGATGCACAATCCCTACGATTGGATGTATATGAGCGACATCCTTCACAACGACATGCGAGCGATGATGGAGGACATGCGGACAAGGAGAAAGCAGTGGCAAGAAGAGAGAGAGAAGATGCGCGAGACAATCCACGGAGGCGGTGCGGGCCAATGCAGCGAGAGGATGACGTGAGGCGTCCCATAATGATGTCAACAATAGTTGTCTGGAGATGAAAAAGGCGTGTGTTGGGAAGAGTGCATGCGTTGTATAGTTTATTGTGCAATTTCGCGATGGATATGGGGCTACCACTAAGCGTTGCAGTGGTAGGATGATAGTCTTCAATACCTAGCCGAGTTTAGCATGGAATACATGTGAAAACCCGGGACCAACCGCCAGTCAGATTTCGGTATCACAGATCTGAGCAAAGTTAGCTACCCCTCGAACGCGCAGTATTGACCAGTGTGGGCGTGCACCAGGAGCTTACATAACGGCATGTATCGACATGCCTTCATTTGAGGTCCTTTGTCACTTATAGGCTGCGGTGTCATAGGGAATGGCAAGCCAGGTATATGCTATGCGCTTGCAGATAGTCAGGACATGCCTAGGAAGCGGTGATCGACGTATAAGTCATGAGTTCAGTAATAAAGACGGCAATCGCCAAGACAATCGCGCAGTGCTGAATAGTATAGCACATCCGGAATGGCCATACATTGGTCGTACAAGCTACGATTGTTCCACGCAGGTAGGAATGTCGGGAATCGGCCCGTGGTAGCCAGTCGACTGAACAACGGTCAAGCCGGGTGGTAAGAAATGCCTATGAGGTAACTGGGAGTAACTTGGCCGGCGTTCGTTGGTGAGAGGCCGACATTGATGATTCGCAATAGAACGATATGATGAATGAAGCGGCAACATGGAATATCGGCGATGCTCTGGTGGCAGTGAGATGACAAATAGCGGACAATTCCTCCGTATGCCAAACACCAGCCCCTCTTTGGTAGCATGCAGATCGCTTAGATTCCCATCGTGAAACCCTCGGCTACGTAAGACAGACGAACAGGGCGTACAATGGTTTTCTTTATGATACCCCACGTCTTGGGTAACGACCGATCGGATATCCCGATAACGTTTGCGCACGTCAATGTCGGGTTTGCTATATCTCTGCCAGCAATGAAAGAGGTCGCAGCCGACAAAAGCAGTGGTGAAAGCTGGCCACATTACGTCTAGTATTTAGCATATGACTTCGAGTCTCTCCAGGCGCTGCCTCACTGCACCTCGACACAGTCGTCTGTCTAGAAGCGCGTTCGTTCTTGTGCGATCGACGCGGTCGCGTTGTTTGCTCAACTTTGCTAGCGGTCGGCTAGAAGAAAAGACGTGGCTGAGCTTTTGCCTCTGTCCGGAAGCTTGAGTGAACGAAGAATAGCTTCCGATGATAGACCGCTCCCGCAATGACAACACAATGGTCCTTATTGGTAGACCCCACATAGTCTATTGTCGCCCTAGGCCAAGACTCACGATGCGAAACGTTTGAGTGGCACTGGTGACCCTGGAGCCAACTCAACTCCCGATGTAATAACTAATCCTGCTTTTGGCACACGTGGACCATTCTGTCTGCCTCAGGCGTGCTCTGTCATGGTATAAGATCAGCTCATGCTCATCCGTCATCTTCTCACAAAATTCCGCACATCGTTATACCCTTATTCGTCGCTTGGTTTTGCAACAGGCATCGTTTCTACCAGTGGCGATAGCATCAACGCAATGTACGAAATGGCTCCCTTCAAACGGCATAAACGACATGGCATGCGGGGATACCAATGGCCAGCTTTCGATCTAGGAGGTTTTGGCGGTCATGGTGGTATGGGTGGTCTAGGAGGGTATCCAGCGTGGGATACCGGCTTTGATACTCCATACTACGACGTGCCGGGCTCTGTCGAACAGGCGACGCGATCACATGTTGAGGCCCAGACCGAGTTTGAGAAGGCAAAGGAAAAGTACGAGGAAGCCAAGAAGAAGTTCGAGGAATGCGAGAAGAAAGGTAAGTGACCACCACGTATTCATGTAAAGCATACGCTGACTTCGCTCCTGTGCCAGTGGAGAAAGCCGAGCAAATGCTGAACTTAGCGAAGCATCGTGCTGGAGGCTGGTGGAATTGATGAAGTCATTCTTGAGTGACTGCTGGCAGCACAACGTGGGTGGGGGCGAGGAAAGGCCCGTTGGTATATCAAGCTCCGGGGATAGACGACCCGTGTAACTCTGATTTTGCATTGTTCCGTTTGGTGGAGATATTGTTTTACCCTGTAAGAGGCTGCAAATGCATCGTCCGCCCGGGAGAGATGAATGCATGCGCCGTAAGCTAAGTGAACTTGAGCTAGAAGCAAATGAAGGCGCCCCAGCCCTACACGTATGTGTGATTTCATCATACAGTGTGTTGTAAAGAGACCGGTGGCCACACGATACTGGATGAGGTATATGCTGTGGTGTTTCCGTTTGGCGCGGCTGATCGGGGTGTGGGTGCTATCGTAGCAGGTATGTATTACGTTTGGACATCGCTTTCGTTTCGTCGTTCGTCATCTGGCCGGTTCTCTGTGTTGGTCAAATCAAGATCTTAGACATATAATTGCCGCGTCTAGGCCTCCAGTGTGAGTGCAACCTTAACTGTTCTCCCACCAACGCGCGACGAATACCCCTCAACATGACTGCTCATGCTGCTTCAACTGCTCGCGAAGCTCAGGCTTCCAAGGCCACAGGTGTACCTCGTGCACGACCCGCACACGAAGAAGTTGAGTATGATTCTGAAGCTGAAACTTTGGTCGGGAGTGAGTCTGATGATGACGGTGATGCTCGTCCAGCACTGGCCAACAATCAGCCTGCAGCTCGTCACGAAGCTGCCCGGCGGCTTCCAGCTAACGAGCCCTGCACGTCTTCTCAGGGCAACATAAACGCAGCGGTCCGCGCGCAAAAGGCGAAAGAGATGGAGAACGCGGTCCAACGGTCCGAGTCGATCATTGGAGGCGCTGGGCGAAAGGCATGATGAGGGAATTCCTAGCCAGCGTAGAATAATGGCACGGGCCGGATTTCGATGAGAAGGATTTTACGCGATAAAGACTGCGATGCGAAGCTGGCAAGGATTGTTGAAAGCGAAAGATGGGGAGCTTCAGTGTGACTGCAAAGACGCGTGCGCGTCGAGTATCTCGCGCTAGTATGTTAGCAGCTTAGTTCAACCACGCCGCTTTGTGATTCTGTCGTCTATCCCCGCGCGATCGCATCTCCTACCCCCCTGTGCTTCACCATCATTTCAACGTGTTACTTGTCATACAGGACCTTGTTCCATCATGGAGTCGGCTCCGAGGCCACCCTCTCCGCCTACCTTTAGATCCCGGGTTAAGCGGTATACGGAAGACACCCGGAACGTAGCGGCATGGCTTCGCCAGACCGCTTTGAACTGCGGATATGCCGCCAGCACCGCATCACCAAGCGTAGAATCTTGTAACGGAAAGAAAGCCGAATATCTCATCAAGACGTCTGAGTTCATTCCCATGGCTGAGGCCATCGCGGCGCACAAACCCCAACCTACGATCCCGGAAGATGTGTTAGCCACAATTTCCCGAGCTATCAGACTACGCCGCAGAGAGACCCGATACGTTATGTCGTTTGGCGCTAAAAGTAAACGAAGTCAACTCGAAGACAGCACCCATACCCATTTCACAGAGAGGATTCTGGGCAAGGTTCGAGACGTACTGCGACCAACCGGTCAGCCTTCTGCACTCGGACTCCAGACAGATACCATACCGTCACTCAGCGACAGGCTTGCTTCTTTGTCGACATCTGACACTGACGAAGCCGACACTATTGGTGAAGAGTCCTTCAACAACCTTACACCCGTACACATCGACTTTGATGATATAGAAGTTGAGGACGAGTTCTTCTTGGCCATCGACGTGTTTCTGGAAGACTTGTTCTTCGTTCGTCAATATGTACAGCACATTTGGGCTACATACAAGGCATCCGCACTGGAAAACAACGTTTGTTCATTATTTACGAATACAGCGATAGACGTCGTCCGTCTAGCTGAGAAGGAATTGGATCAACTAGTCAAGCGGCCTAAACGATTTCCTGCTGATATCTTCCCTGTATGGACGCTGCCGTCATTGTTGTTGCACAAGCGAACTCCTGCGCTGCAAAAATTTACACATGAGGAAATTGCAGCTCTGACACCAATCAAGCTGTTTCCCACCGATACTGAGGACCAGAGCGACTTCGCATTCTTTTCGGTCTTAACAGGGCTCAAATGGTATCTTTGCGCTCCTACTCACCAAGAAGGTTTCCATCAACAAGACCCTGCATGGTTCAAGCAACCCGGTGAGAAGTGGCACCCGCATCTGCCAAGGGTTGTCGAGATGTGCCACATGATGCAGTGGCAAGCCTCGGCGAAGTTGTTCCAAGTATCGCAAGGCAAATTCGACACGATTGCCGAAGACGAGATCTCAAGAGCGGTTCGCCACATGGTCAAACACAAAGAGATTCCAATTTGGGTGCAATTTGCTGCCCAGACTTATATCGACATACAAGATGTGCTAGGAGATCGTCTAGATACACCGTTGAAAGAACTTCAGGTATACCTACAGACTTTCAACCGAACCCTGGCCAACTTTCTGAGTGGCAACTCCCAGTTGGAAAAGTATGAAAAGAATACCAGGTTTCGAACGGGATACCTCAAGATTATCGATGACCTGAAACGGAAGCAATCTATACTTGAGGCGTGGTTTACAAAGGATCTATTCACCCTGAGTCTGAGAGGAAGCCCACATCCATATCTGTCGAAATTCAAGAAGGAGAACCACGTACTACTACGTCGACATCCACTAGGTTGCGGGGTACTCCAGTACAACATGTTCGAGGATTTGCATGAGTATGGTCTTCAGCTTGAGTTGGCTACGGACTGTATCCGACCTATGATATACCTCTATGCAGCCACTCGGTTGCTATGTAAAGATTCTCCGACATGGCCTGACATGGAATTACTCATTCAGCGTCAGGACCCTCAGCGGCTGTTCTATGGCAATGAAAGGCCAACGGACTATCGAACGATCTTCACCTGCTTCAAACAGGCGACTGTCATGCCCCTCACATCGCTACACATCACAGATCCTAGTATGTTGACCGACGTGTTCATGGACCGCTTCGACCATCAAGTGAGCGATAACAAAGAAATCGATTCTGTAGTATCCAGGTGGGCGACACTGATGAGGAGTGAAGAAGGCATGAAGCGTCTCCTTCGGCAAAGAAATGTCGATCCATCGGAATACTCTACTGCTTTACGATCACTACAGGAGCAAGCCAAGAACAACAAACCAGATGGGATCCTCACTCGATTGCTCCCGTGTCTAGAGGCGGATGCTATCGATTTGCACTTTGACTGGCTGTCTCTGCACAACACATGCGCTCTTCTATGGCTGAGAATGTACTCTAAGCTCAGCAGTCACAAAGGCTCTCTGACATTTGATCCGGACAAGTATCGGATGACTCCTGAATCGCGAGTGAAACTTGTTGAGCAGATACTTCTCGAGACCGTGGAAGCATACAATGCCACACAGAACATGGAGCTTAAGGACGCCTGGCAGGCCTTCGGGGCCGGCATTCGAACCGCCGCTTCCACGTTGCAGGAGACGATAAAAGCGCCTTCGGTCTCCACGATGTATGGTCAGATCATGGGCGGCGATTTTTGTATTGCTTCGACGATGGGGCAGACGTCTCAACAAGGTGTACACTATCCAGGCATCTTCTACAAACAGCTGGGGCCGATGAATGTCAGCAACTTGTACCGTGGCTGGGATAAAAAGATACAGAAAAGTCTTCACTCGACTACATGCGCCGACTTCTCGGATGCGAAGCACAGGAATTTTGTGGCGCGGGCAGAGGATGAGCGTCGAAGGCAACGGGAAATCTTGATAGAGCTGCTGCTAGAGCAAGAGACACTTGAGCAAAAGAAGCATGGGCAAAGTTCGAAGGCGCAGAAAGCCGCAAAGAAGTCGAAGAACCAAAGGAAGAAGGGTAAAGGCACGACCTTTTGATGGAAGGTCTCTAAGATAGGCTATAGGGACGACGACCTAATTTTCGAGCTTCATTAAATAACCTGTATGAAGAATCTCCAAGGATACATCGTCGCTAATTTTGAGCCTCTATACGCCAAGAGTCGAACCTCTGAGGTATTCACGAAGCTTTTTGCTTATAGAAGCTCAAACCTAGCGACAATGCATTCTTCAGATAGCTGTTTTGTCTAGCGTACAACTCAATCAAAACCATTGTCTTCGTCAATGCCATGTCTTTACACTATATCACCCTGCTCATCTCCTCGCATTTACCGCGTACCCTTTCTTTCTCTGTCTACGGAGCAGCCTGTTCCTCTAATATATGTCCTTTATGATCGTATGCCCTACTTTCTAGGGTAAAGCAAAGAAAGAACAAGCTTGCTAGTGCATGGCAATGTTCAGGAGTTTCAAAAAATACCCATCTTCAGCATTGACGGACGCTGGGATTAGTGAATCGCCATTCTGAACCATGCTAGAATTCTCTCTCCCATCGGCGATAACCTCATCGTGATGCGCAACCGTCGTTCTGAGCTTTAGGGGTTTTAAGGTCGGTTGGCGGTCCCGGGAAGAGCACACCCCGATGACGTCAACGCCGTTCTGTCTTGGCAAGATTAGCTTCACGCGTCGCGGCGCGTCCTCCAGCCCAGCACCTTATGCATACAATCTCATATCCTGGTCTTGTTATCGCTTATGCGCAAGCTCCAACCCGATCTCGGACTCTTAACATTTCGGCCGACTTTAACCTCACGGCCGATCCCCGTCGCGTCGCGTAGCCCGTATTCGGTCGCCTTTCTCGAGAGAGTATCATCACATTTTTCCGACATCCGGGCTCTACGCATTCGGCAACCGCTGTTCAATATTATACATCGCCCTTAGGAGATATCAATCGTCTCAACATATTGGCTCGTAGGGGAATTGAGGCCTCGTTCGTGGCCATGTAGCGCTCAACTTGCG